CACTCTGACAACTTCACAAACTTCGTGACGTCATCCCTCAGCATGTCATGATACCTTACCTTCTTTATCTCCTCGTCCACTGCATATTGTGGAACCAACAAAGCTCTCTCCCGAAACTTGTTAGTGATCCCTGCCACAGTCTCAGTCGTCTGATAAAGGTACTGAAACTCCCTTTCCAACTGCTGCACCTTAATAGCTGGTGCAAACTCGGCCCTAAAGCTAGTCATAAACTCCTCCCATGTCATTGTCTCTAAGGCTTCGCCTCCCAAAGCGAAGTCTACCACCTCCCGCTAATCTTAGGCTCTGTCCTTCAGAAGACATGTCCTTTAGGCTCTGTCCTTCAGAAGACAGGAGCCAAATTCGACCTTCGACTCCTCGGGGCAGAAACTCGTCCGAAAAGCATTAGCCATATTCGTTAACCATCTTCTACTGGCAATGGGGTCCTTCTCCCCAAAGGACACGGGAGCTCCACAAACATGAAACTCGTGAGAAGAAAGAGTGTGAGCTCCTACAATATCATTAATCTCAGTACAGAACACCCCCAAACGCTCATCCAAAATCTCCAAAATCCCCTCCTTGACCGTACCAAATATTACAGGAGTCTGCTCCAAAATGTCACGGGTAATCTCCGATGAGATGAACTCCCACATTCGCTCATCGATCAGCTCAATACCTGCACCTGAGCCGGAATCAGAACATGAACCTCTTCCATGAGTGCTCATCACCATTCTAAAAAGCAGTCATAAAATGGTCGGAACATAACCATGAATCCTCATCCCACATGCTTCCTAGATTCTACATGACTCTCCTTAATTCGAGTATGGATCATGTGCTTCCAGCAGTACGGGCCTAATACTACCTTCCAAAACTATCCATACTTTCCTCAAGAATCATCCCGGATCTTCCAGGTCACATTCTCAAACTGGTACTCTATGTACTCACTAAACAACACAACTAAACCCACTGAAGCACTTCCTAGGCTTTCCTAGGTTTCTGACCTCACCCTGCCACCAGCTGCTGAAGAACTCCCACTAACACCAATTAACTACCTCATTAATATAATCACATGCCACAGAGCTTGGATAATCCTTCGAGTAACAGACTCAACCCTACAACGGTTAGACTCAAATGAGAGTTGCGAAATAGAGTCAAATCCATCACTCTAAGATTATTTAACCTTTGCGACATGTGACTTGACATATTCACTCGACAGTTAACTCGTATTACTAAGAGTTACACAAAGCACAAAGAAAGCAACATTCGAGCAGTAACAGTCCAGGACTCATGCTAAGAACTTCCACTCTTACTAAGAACTTCCACTCTTACTAACGGTTACCTTATGCATGCAAGTTATACACAATACAAGATCAAATAGACTGTCGAATAAAAGACTCTTCCCTAGGACCACAACCAAACAAGGAACATGAAATAAGGCCAAATCATTCATTTTACGGCTATATGATCCTAATCTTATACAATTCTTTTAAAGCACAACTTAACAATTACTAATACCATTACATATTCCCAATCTAGCATCCAATGCTTCCTAGGCTACAAGGCATCACATATCAGGTCAATCCATTATGCAATTCCTGAAAGTATCCTAGCCTTACCCTAGCATGCAAACATTCATATCATATAACATATCAACATGTATGGGTATTTTGGGAATCACTTACTTGAGCTCGCCGATTGCACGCATCACATCCCTTTTGTCTTTATAAAATCCTTTTAGAAAATTATTCCCTTTACAAAATCTTTTTAGAAACTCATTTTCTTTCAAAAGATTACCAATTCCTCAGTTTGATTCCAGACATACCCAAGAGCTATGCTATTAATAGCATGCTATAGCGGTGCTATAGCGACGTTATAGCGTTTTGCGGTGTTACTGAACCGCTATTTTGAAATAGCGTTTATGAATAGCAGTGACACTATTATCGATGCTATTGACCGCTATTTAGCGTGAATCTCATCAACGCTATAGTGACGTTACACCCGCTTTTATAATTTCATACACATTGGACTACTTTAACAAAGAAAAAATCGATTGTGGGCTATTTCAATATTAAATCTGTACTTTTTTAATTTGTCCACTACACTTTTTTTTTAATAAGTCCAAATAATAAATCTGGTTAATTACAAACTACAAAGCAACAAATGACAACTTTTCTTTCTCATCTCTTTCTGTATTTAGAAACCACGAATGACTTGAGTTGCAATGACACTTTGACACTTTTAGCTTTCATATTACTATTTTAGAATATTATATATATGGTTTATGTGATGTTCTTATATGACTTTTTATAATATGAATTCTATATAGTATTAATACTCTAATATATAAACTTTGTATAAATATATAATAAAAATTATACATTATATTAAAAAACCACTATACCACCACTATACCACCGTGATAACCGCGATTTCAAATAGCGACATGTGACCGCTATTGAAATTTCGACAATGATAACTGCTTAGCCCGAGAGTGTACATGAATCCCTCAAACCAAGGCTCTGATACCAACATGTACTATCCCAAAAATTATGAGGTAAAAGTTTCATTTTTAATTTAGTCAAAACACTAATTATCTTTTATTCAAACATCCAAAAGTATTTCATAATAAAACAATCATTAGAGTACAATCCCAAAACCATCACAATGCAGAAGCATAGGTGGATGCGTTGTGATCACGCCGGGCCATTCTCTTATGAACCAGAAGTACCTGAAACCATAACCATAAAAACCATAAGCACAAAGCTTAGTGATTTCCCCAAAATACCACATACCATACATATAAAACATATAGAGGACCCCGCCCGGCATCGAGCCTCGCTCAATATATAAATCTGTCAGTCATCGGGACCCGCCCGATATTGAGCCCCGCTCGGCATATAAGAAACAAACACATAATAATACAAACACATGCAATAATCACAAAGATATATAGCATACAGGATAATCATTGGGCCCCACCTGACATCGGGCTCTACCTGGTAACATATAAACACATATCACATGTAAGAGTCATGCAGACAACTAGCATACAAAACATACAAACCATGGGCCGACATTGGTGCCTTCGACCCGCTAAACACAGTGAGGAAACTCACCTCAATCTGCTGATAACCATATAGCTGCTCGGGTCGCTGAACCGGATAACCTCGCACCAACTAACAAAAATAGAACATTAATTAATAATTAACTCGATTACCCAAAATCCAAGGCCCACTCCAAATCCCACTTCCTAAAGGGTAAAAGACCATTTTACCCTTTTGTTACTTGTACCAAAGCCAAGGCCCAACCCATTTGCTCAAAAATCCTAATTCCTAAATGGTATCCCAAGGCCCAATATGGCCCATCTTCCTAATTGGGCCGCAAAACCATCATGAACCTATTTCCAAGCAAGCCTTTAGTCTATCCACATCCCAAAGTCAGAAGTCGAATGGCCCAACAAGGTCTAAACCTTAGAAGACCCATACTTGACATACTGGGAATTACGCCCCGCTTACCAGAAGGGTACGCCCCACATACACACCCCCGAAGCACGAGGTGCAAGTTGCTAATGCACAAACCACACATTACGCTGAGTGTACTCCTATGTACGCCCAACGTACTAAGCAGAGAGTCAAAAATCTCACAAAACCTCTTAATAGTTAAGAAAAGGACTTCCATACTTAGATATGACCCTAAGGAGATGTCTTAACATGTAAAGTTGGCAACTTTACTCCTTTACATGGATTAATGGGACCAAATCCTCAATAAAATCCATAATAAGCACCCAAACTCATGCATGGTCCAAAATAACTCATCAAGATGACATTTTTATGAACAAGGGATCTCTCAAATACCAAGATCCAACATTCTAAGCTCTTGAAGTAGCTCATACTCACAAGGATGACTCTAAGGAGCAAAATGAACCCAAAACATTCCTTAGACTAGTTCTAACACCTAGAGCCATCAAGTTAGAAACTTTATACCTCCACAAGGTAGATCAAGGTGCACCAAGCCTGGATCCAAAACCTTCAAGCAATCCCACACTTCTCCAAGAAGCTCATTCTTCTTCAATGAGCACCAAAATGCATGAAATACCACCAAAAGCTCAAGAACCACACCAAAGGGGACTAGAGTTTCGTTTCTAGGGTTTAAAGAGCTGGAGACTGAAGATAACAGGATTTGGTGTTGAGTTAAGGAGCTTAAATAGGGTCCACGAACCTAAATTAAGGTTTGGGTCTAACTGGAGTATGACATGCGTAATTCTCATACGCCCAATGTACTCCAAAGAGCACCCGCGACTTCCTTGCCTAGTATGCCCAACATAGTAGACTTGGTCCTTAAGCCTTCAAACTTCCATATCTTCTTCGTTCTAAGTCCAATTTCGACGATCCTTATATCCACCGAAAGGTAATGAGAAACACTACACTTATATCACCTCATACTTGCCTTACGGTTACACTCTTGGGCTCCAAATCACAAACCGGACTCCCGGATCATCTAACTTACATTACCCACACCCATATGGGTCTAAATCTCTCTTTCCAAAAGGCTCTAAGTTTTTTGATATCTAATCCTCGGTCACGGCCCCGAATTAGGAAACTATTCAGAACACGGTGTTACAATTTTGGTAATTTAAAAATGAAAATTTTGTTTAAAATTTGAGGTATTACATTGGACAATCTTTTCATGATGTGGCAACGGAGAGAATGGTGGCCGGAGGACATGGGATTGTGCCATCAACATAGCCAAACAAGTTTTTTTATAATGAGGAACGGTTGTAACATCGTCTTCCAATACCCATAATTTGTTAGAGATAGGGTGAGACCAAACTTGTGTCAATTATGAGATGTTTTATCGGTTGCAAGAAACGCAACAATGGGTGCCATGTGTGGATGTCGACAATTGTTAGTCGAAGAAGAGAATATGAAGTAGAGGGTGGTTGTCGACAATTGTTAGTCGAAGAAGAGGATGAGATTGGCTGAGTTGTGGCAGCCGATTAGGGTTTGGCTGTGATACCAAATCAAACTTGGTAATTGTATATTGATTATAATAACACACAATTACAAAATATATACTAATAAAAATTACACTTTATACACCCTCTATAATATAAACGTCTACTAGCTCTTCTACAACATCAGGCTCGGAAACTGTCTCACCACCTTTTTGAAGATCTTTCAGAATGCTTAATCTATTTAACAAAGAACATGTGTCCTGAAAAAGGCATAATAATTAATAAAATATTAATTATTTCTAAAAGTAGAATGTTGTAATGAGAATAAATGAAATTGACCACAGAACATGTGACATCTTCATGCAAAGGATCTGCTGCAGCTGCTGCTGTTGAACGCAGTGCAAGGTCCAACAGAGACCGAAAATTAAACTCAAATAAATGCAAACGTAAATTTTACAAAATAAAAAAATACAATGTAATTTCACTTATTTGTGTATTATATTTATAACATCAAAGTCTTTATACTGCAGAAAGAACAACTTAATAAAGAGAAAATCAGGAAATTGAGTATTTTTCCATAAGTCATCTATTTACAAATGTGAAATGTCATTTATTTTCCCTTTTATTTTCTCATATAAAACTTAATGAGTAAGAAGAGAGGGATAAACGATAATTCTTATATGTAGATAACTTTTATCCCTATCCATACATATGGATGATACAAATAAGGGCAAATTACAGAAATAACATTATATTTTTGGCAATTTTGCGGTTTAACCACTTCTACTTTATTTTTTTCCAATCAAACCATTAAAGTTTCAGACATATTTCCATTTTAACTGTTTTGACCTGATATAATAAGGTCAAAAATGGTAAATTTGGAGAATTAGAATGATTAATTTGGAAAATTGTCTGAACTATTATGGTTTGATTGGAAAGAAAAAAGTATCAGTGGTGTAATCACAATAATTGCCCAAAATATACTCTGTTTTTTTTTTTTTTTTGTAATTTGACATGTAAAGATAATATGAGCTAAATGGGTAAAGACCTGAAGCTTCTCAATAGAGATCTCATTTGGAGTTTTATCAAGTTCATCACGTGCAATATCCATAAAATGAACCAAGAAATCACCCTGTAACTCAACCAAATCAAATATCAAATATAATTACAATTCAAATACTTTAAACTACAAAAACCATCAATCCAATTATTTGAGTGCAAATTTAACTTGATCCAGAAGAAGATAATGGTTAATAGAATTCAGCTTTCCCATGAGATCATACTATCAAAATTGAAAATAATAATTGGTCACTAAATATTCTTAAAAGAACTAAAAGGCACAACCATTAAGATTTAAAAAATCATAATAATAATAATAATAATAATAATAATCTTCTCTCCACCTTATTTTTTGGGGTGGTGTTTCAAGCATCTCAAAGCCTGGGTGATATGATTCGTGTGACTTGTGACCTGATCCAGTGGGATTCCTTTATCGCCTTTTTTATCCACTAGCATACGAATTATTTTAGAAAATGGGTCCTCCATATCCCTTTATTTTCAGAAGATGGGTCATTCGAATCCCTTTAGAAAATGGGTTATTCTAAACGCACGAACAAATTTCCATTTACACGAATGAAGTGATGTATTTTATTATTTATCTTATAATAATTACTTTTTTTTCTTTTAATTTTTACTGTTGTTATTATTAAATGAATGTGGAGTAAACGTTTTATTCCAACCTAGCACATTTGTATTTATACCCTTTTAAATATGCATGTACGTTATATATATTTATTTTGGTTTTTTTAATTTAATTTTTTTTATTTGAACATTTTAATTTAATTTAACTTATAACTTTTAGTAATTAATATATATTGTATCTTTCAACAAATAGATAACATTATTATTGAAAAAAAAATGTTATAACTAAGCAACTTAACAAATTAAAATAGATTGGATGTAAAGTTCGTTAATCGTGTTTTTATTTCAACATTTTGTGTGCATAATTTTTTTTCAATATTGCAAAAATATTTTTGTGTCTAACAAGTTTTGAAAAAAAATGCATATTTTATAGAAATACACCTACACATGATGAGTATACACCGACAAACATAAAAAAAATCTTTAATTGTTTGTTGTTACGTCTGATAATATGTTAAACAGTCATAAAAGAGATATTATTAATCATAAATGAATATAGAAAAACATATATGAAAATAAGAACACATAAAGTGACAAAAAAAATTAAATCAATAACCATACATAAATAAATGAGTATAAATGTCCAAAGCAAGACCGTGTTTTCTTTTCAAACAACAAATAATTAAATATCTACTATGTATGGGATTGAACCAAGAACCTTCCTACTCCTTTAAATGTTATTTAAAGATAAAATTTCCAAAAGATTTAAATATATATATGTTTGAATTTCAATAAAAAAAATAATGAAATAAGACATCTTTATGTTCATCCTTATTAGGATCCCATACAAAAAATAAAATATTCTTTTTATTATTTTTATGGTCTAAAATTTTTTTAATCATCTTAAAGAAGGAGGCGGACTTGAATGAAAATACTAAATCGTTACTATTGTTTAAAAATATAAAATTGAAATGTACAGTTTAATAATCATTATCCTGTTATTAATTTATTAAAGTATATTTTCTTAGTTATCGTATAGTTTTAGTTTGATCATACTTTTAAGTTTTTATATTATATAGATGTATTTTTAAAATCAGTTAATGTATTAAAGTAATATATTAAGTATATGTATAATTTTAGTTTAATCATACTTTTATTTTTATATTATATAGATATATTTTAAAATCAGTTAATGTATTAAACTAGTATATTAAGTATATAAATGGGTTAATACCTTAAAAACCATTATTTATACATATACGTTTCGATTTAACCATAATATTTTTATTTGTTACTTATTTGCCACCGTTAATGAGATGACGTTCCATTTATTACACCTTACCCGGTTAACAACCGGTAATCAAGTCCTTGCCGGTTGCATCTTCTCACTCGATTCCTAATTCTTGGGAACGTGCATAGTAGCCACCACCTTTTCCCTCATGTCTGACTAGCAAAGGGGTATCCCTTATCAGATACCATCATCGTCAAAAGAGGGTTTTGCAAGAGGGTTTTGAAAGAGGGTTTCTGAAGGTTTTCAAGGGTTCGATGGCAGAATCATCACGGAGAATGAAAAGTAAAGAATCAAAGGCGACAAAGAAGACAAAGTTGAGATACGTATGTGATGAAGAAGAGTCTGATGATGATCGTCTTGACTTAGGATTGTTGGATGTTGAACCAGATAACTTCAATCCTACATCTAACTTGTGTGACGACCCTTTTCTTAACATTTTATGTGATGATAAAATGTTAAAGAATAATCAGTTTGAAGGGGACGATGAAGCTGATGTTGAAGACATTCACCAGGAAGAGCTTGAGCATGAACACCTTGAAGATGAAAATGGCTTGGAAGTGGGTGTCGAGTTCAGGGTGCACGATCCTACCGTCAAGTGGAACCAAATGAAGCCTACAGTTGGTGAGTTATATGAGTCTCCTGCTCAGTTAAGGTTTGCACTCACTAACTATGCTGTAGCTAATGGATACCAACTTTGGTTCATGAAAAGTGATAAAAGCAGGGTAATTGTTAGGTGTGGGAAAAAAATGCAAAAAAACCATGTCCTTTTAGGATCCATGCTTCGTGGAAGTATAATGAACGTACTTTTCAGATAAAATCTATGGTTGAATTCGGCCAGGGCTTCTCTACTTTAGGTGAAGTACCGAATTCCCTTAGCCATGGGGTCTATTTATACTTGTAGACTCCTTAAGGGTTACAACCTAAACCCTAATTGGATAATCTTCTCTTAAGGCTATCCAAATCCATTCCTTAGATAAGCAATGGACGATTTGAGCTATCCATTAGCTTCTAGAATCCGTCCCATCTATATCTATATGGATTTACAGTCTAAAGTTTAACTATCAAACAATTGACAGTTTATACCCTCTTATTTAATTAATCTCTATAATCCACCAAATTAATCCCAATTAATTCTACGACTTATATTAATCAAATAACAATATTATTATTCTTTGTATTATTCTCATAATATATTAATAATATTTACTCTCTCTTAATAAATCATCCTATCAAGTTGCTATGGTGAAGGCAACCCAAAAGGACCATGCACAACCGGGTCAAATACTTGCCTAATATAGTTGCAGCCTTAGACAATATTCCAACAGAAATGACCTCCAATTAGCCAATTTCTTCTCTAGATCACCAATCACTCTAGGGTTTCTCTCAAGGAACGAAGACTTTGATGGGGAGGGGCCAAGGAGGCTATAAGTGCCTTTAAATAGGTCCCAACCCCCGGAAATTAGGGTTTCTCTGCCCAGCACCTACTCGGCGAGTCCCTCCTCTGACTCGTCGAGTTCACTCATTAACCCACGTGAGAAACCCGACTCGACTCGGCGAGTTGGACCCTCAACTCGTCGAGTCTTTCCTTAAATCACAAGATTAACTTACACAATAATAACCCTGAAAATCCGGATGTTACAAAAGAGAATTATAATTACGGATATCATTTAGTAAACATACAATTATGGAAATCATTTAATATCTATCTTTATTTAATTAAATAATTATTTAATTTTACTAAATTCCTATTGGTGCATTCTAACACACAATAAATATAAGAAACTTATTAACCTACCCCTATATATATATATATATATATATATATATATATATATATATATATATATATATATATATGTAAGTTATTGAAGTTTGAGTGAATAAAATATATAAGGATGTATTTTGTAACATGCATCTAAGCTAAAGGAGCTAATATCAAAAAATATAAAAACAATTTGAAATCGCCAAAATAACAAATGTGATGGGATTGATTGTGATCATTGATTATACACGAATTTATTCGTGCGAATAGGAGCACCCAAGAAAATAGCTCCACCATATCAAGATTAATATTCTCGTGCCTTCTCTCTCTCTCTCTCTCACCAGTGAAAATGGCCGACTCTTTAGTTACTGTTGCTGCCGAGGCGATCCTGAAAAAGGTAGCATCCATAGCTGCCAACGAAATCGCCCTTGCTTGGGGTTACAAAGAGAAGTTGTACACACTTGAACGGACCTTGAAAATGATTCGTGCCAAGTTACAGGATGCCGAGAATCAGAAAGGTCAAAAACATAGTGTGATGGAGTGGCTGAAACAGCTAAAAGATGTGGTTGGTGAAGCTGATGATGTGGTGGATGAGGTTCACTACGAAATGTTGAGGCGTGAGGTGAAGAATCGACATCGGGTGGGAACAAAGGTACCCTCTCTCCCAAGCTTGAAAAAGCTTTTCTTTCGTAGTGAAATGGGTCATAAAATCAAAAACATTAACGAAAAGTTGTCTCAAATCAATAAACAAGCAAACGAGTTGGGACTACAAAATGAACAGCCTGGCCATGTTGTTCAATATCGTCCCTACCCGGAGACAGTTCCAAATTTAGGCGAATTCAGAATTTTTGGGAGGGAGGATGATGAGGAGCGCATCATACACCTTTTAACTGAATCAAGAAAAGAAGAAAAACTTACAATTGTTCCCATTGTGGGAATGGGCGGGATGGGAAAGACCACTCTAGCTAAGTCCGTATACAATAATCCAAAAATCCAGCAACATTTTGATGTGAAAGCTTGGTTGTGTGTGTCGGTTAAGGTTAACATCAACACACTTCTGGCAAAGATCTATGAATCTGTTGCAGGAGAGAAACCTAAGTCGGAAACAACGGCCAATTTAGTTCGAGATCTTGAAAAGAAGTTGGAAGCAAAAAGATATTTGCTAGTCCTGGATGATGTTTGGGATGAAGAGAGATTATATTGGGAAGATTTTAGGAGTGTTATGATAAATGTGACGTCACAAATTGGAAGTGGCATATTGGTCACTACCAGAAAACTTGACATTGGAACTAAGGCTATGATGATGGATTCTTGTCCTTTAAAAGGTCTTTCTGATGATGATTGTTGGAACATCTTCAAAGAGAGGGCGTTTCTAGCACGACAATCAGCACAACCTGAATTGGAGAAGATAGGGCGTGATATTGTCAAAAAGTGTCGTGGTTTGCCGTTGCTATTAAATGCAGTAGGGGGTATGTTGCAAAATTACAGTGACCCTGAGAAGTGGTTGGCCATCAAAAATAGCGATGTTTGGGATCTAGAAGATGAAAGGGAGAGAGTTCAAAAGAGTTTGGAACTGAGCATAGATAATCTGCCTAGACTATCTATCTCCAAGCAATGTTTTGCATATTGTTCCATCTTTGAGAAGGATACACACATACAAAGGGAAGAACTGGTCCAACTTTGGATGGCTTTAGGGTTGGTTCAAGGGGATAAGGAAAAAGACAAGGAGATGGAGGATGTGGGAAATGATATTTTTCAGATTTTGGTTAGCAATTCGTTGTTAGAAGATGTTAAAAGGGATAAGTATGGTCACATCACTCATTGTAGCATGCATGATCTGGTACATGATCTTTCATTATCACTTTCCAAACATGAAAGCTTATGTCTGGTGGATGCGACAAATGATGACATAGCATGTATCCCTCAGGTTAAACATCTCTCTTTTTACCAAGAACAGAATGAGGATGATGAATTCAAAGCCAAGGTTTTTGTGTTCATTGAAAGGAATACAGTGGCTAGAACTTTGCATACATTGTTCATCAAAGGTGAAGTTGAGAAGAAGTTATCATTTCAACGATTAAAGTGCATACGCATCCTAAAACTCAATGGTTATAAATTAGAGAAGTTAGACGATTCATTTGGAGAGTTGGTGCATCTCAGATATCTTGATTTGTCATCTACAAAGATCCGTGTACTTCCTAAATCTATTGGTAAACTATACCACTTGCAAACTCTGAAGTTGCCTTATGGTTTTGAGCAGTTTCCAGAAGCAATGAGAAATTTGATAAGCCTGCGGTATTTCAAGTGTGACCAAGACATTCCCGCTAATATCGTGGGACAATTGATTTCTCTTCGAAAGTTGCCTTCCTTCACAGTGCTTAGAAGAAAGGGACATGGTATTGAAGAGCTACGCCATTTGAATAACCTTAGTGGAAGCCTCTTTATTTCACATCTAGAGAACGTCAGTAGCAAAGAGATTGCTGTCAAGGCAGATTTATCTAGAAAGAAAAATTTATATGATATTCATTTCAAATGGAGTGAGGAAGATCAAAGCAGCAACAGAGTTGACAAGGATGTATTGGAAGGCTTGCAACCCCCACGTGATGTCAAAATATTGACAATTGAAAATTTTTCTAGTGATAATTTTCCGGATTGGGTAATGAAGATGGCAATCCATATCGAAAGGAAATGGACGCCCGTTGACAAGCTCATGAAGATCACATTATTTGGATGTCGCAACTGCCTCTCTCTTCCAACGCTTGAGCGCCTACCACATCTTTGGAATCTTGAGTTAGTAGGAATGGACAGCTTGACATGCTTAAGGAGTTCTGATGTTACTGGATCAACCAAACCTCTGTCTCCATCATTGAGTTCGCTCTGGTTATCAGGTATGAAAAGACTGGAAAAGTGGATAGAAGGAGCAACCAACAGCTCAAACATGATATCGCCTGTCCTCCAGAGCTTGGAGATTTTTCGTTGCCCAAAGATTATTCTCATAGATGAATGCCATCCCCATCCTCTTGTGTCCTTAAGGATATGGAACTGCACAGGTCTGGAGTACATTAGGAGCATACAAGGCCTTACATCTCTTGAATATTTACATATCGATAATTGCCCTAGTCTTTTAGGAATAGGCAATTTTTCTGGTGATAATTACCCGGAATCAGTAACGAAGATGGCAATCGATATCGAAGGGAAATGGACGCCCCTTGACAAGCTCCTGTCAATCAGATTAGATGGATGTAGGAGCTGCCTCTCTCTTTCGGCGCTTGAGCACCTACCACATCTTCGTGATCTTGTGTTGAAGAATATGCACAGCTTGACATGCTTAATGAATTCCAATATTACTGGATCAATGAAGCCTTTCTCTCCATCGTTGAGATCACTCACACTGGATGGTATGAACAGACTAGAAAAGTGGATAGATGGAGCAACCAACAGCTCAAAAATGATATCACCTGTTCTCGAGAAGTTGGTGATTGAGAATTGCCCAAAGATTATTCTCATAGATGAATGCCATCCCCATCCTCTTGTGTCCTTAACGATATGCAACTGCACAGGTCTGGAGTACATTAAGAGCATACAAGGCCTTACATCTCTTGAATATTTACGTATCGATAATTGCCCTAGTCTTTCGGTAATAGCCAATTTGCCCAAACAGTGTCACTCTTTAAAGACTTTGATAATTAAACATTGCCACAAACTGACTTCCTTGCCTCTAAAAATGTTTGACTGTTTTGCCTTCTTAAATGAGTTGACACTTGGTCCGTTCTCAAAGGGGCTCGATTCTTTCCCAAGTCTCCAAGGCATTGAGAAGTTAAGGGACCACCTTCACTACTTGGAACTAAGAGGCTGGGATCATTGGGAGTCAATGCCAGAAGAAATACAGCACCTCACTTCACTGACTTGGTTACAAATAATTGATTTCAGAATACAAGAACTGCCTATGTGGTTAACCAACATGTCATCTATCCGAAATTTGTGGTTCTATGAATGCAAGGGGCTAAATAAAGAAACGGTTAGACGGGGAGCACCATGGGAAGCAACTGATGTCAGATTAAATACCAAAGAGTGTTAATTAATTAGTTATTTGAGTGTGTTGGTGTATATATATGTTGTATCACTCATTCCTCCTCTGGGCTCTTGCTTAACAATAAACTCTCTTCTAACTTTCTCCTCCCTTGCGATCCAAATTGTATCGAAACATTTGTCTTGTTCAAGTATAAGAGACAAGTACAAAAGATGGGTAAATGTCCAAACATTTTATAAATTTGATACTTAAAACTTCATACTACCAAATTTCTTCTCGCTTATAGCTTACAGCTACCATTGACTTGTAATCGCAACTGATCGACCAATTTTGCAACTTTTAGCTGTGCTTAATATCCTTTCAGAATTCATCATTTATCTTATACATTGCATGATGGCTCTCTTCCATTGTAACTGATTTGTACTATATAATTTGTTGTTACCCTGTCATGCACTCCTAACAATGATTAAATGTCCATTTTATTTGTGTTATTAACTTGGAAAGATTTCTGCAAGTTAAGTTAATGCAGGTTTTACTTTTAGTAGTTGTATTGGTCATAAAGCTTATAATTAGCTAAAGTTCTAGGACTGGCTGTTAATCTGAAGTACCTGAGGGCTACAGAATCAGGGGCTACAGGGGCTGATCCTATCAAGTGCTAAAAGTTGGAGGTGGCTGAGGGTAACATAAGTTATTAAAAGTTGTTCCCTTATCAATCGAGAGTCATATTCTAAGTAGGGACTTTTGTTTGGATGGATCAGCTTGACCCAATCCAACCAACTGAATCCAATTGATTTCGGTTTTCAAGATGTGAATCCGAATAATAGAAATTAAATTCAAATCGAATCCGAACCAATTAAATTATAAATCGGTCGGATCGGATTTTACAATTCGGTTTTCAAGAGGCATGACATATACTTTCAATCAACACATAAAACTTCATATCATTTTAATAACAAGAAACAAATTGTGTTTGGCTAAAATCAAATCCAGATGATCCATGTTTTACTACTATGAAATCTACACAAGTTGTTCATCATGCAAGCAAAAACACTCAGATTCCAAAACATATATATACAAAAAAACCACTACAACCAACAACCAACAAGCAAACTGTAAACTTGAAGAAAAAATACAAAAATCTAGATGTGGTGATCCATACCAACACCAAGAATCAACTGTGCAAGATGAGTCAAATATGGTTCTGCTTGTGCCCTGCTGCTCAATATTGGCCTTAAACTCTCCAATTCACTACTAAACTCCCTCTCAAATTTCCTGCCAAAAATCACTCCACTCCATCACACATACTTACATACATACATACATATATAGTATATACATGCATACATAAATACATACATACATAGAAAGAAAAAGAAAATATGAGGTATAGATTTAAGATCTTACAGGACACATTCGATGACTGTAGACTCATCTGTGGGTGAATTTGGTTTTTTGGAAGATTTTCTTAGCTTCAAAACCTTTAAATTTTCCAAGGAAGATGAATGCAAATCATCAATGGAACTGTTTGAATCAGGAGCTTCAATGGAGCTCATTAGCCACTGAGTTGCAGCAGCATATTGAAGGCATACAAGTTTCAGTTTCTCAAATTTCTGCATTCACCCCCAAAAACTTATTATTATTAGAACAAATTCACAAACACAAACCTTGTATATTATATGAATATTTCTTTTTCACTTAATGGATACATAACTTAGGTCCCCATTAAGTCATGTATGGGTAAAGTGACTGAATAGATAGTGATATCTGTCTGACTAAATGACCATTTTACCCTTACATTCTGAAAAAAATCAGAATATTCATCAACTTCTAACATGAGAGAGTACTTACCTCATTAAGTCAAAAAGAAACAGCCCCTTCATGTGGTAACTTACATATCAATTTTCTTTTTAACCTAACTTTTAATGAATTTGACCCCATTTACTTTTACCTTTCTTTTCCCCAAGTGTGTCATCATTTTCTCAAATATTTTTTAAACAATAGTTATCCAAACAGCACTTTATACAGAAATAATGTTTAATGAAAATCATATTAAATTTGCATACTATTCTATTCCTCTATTTTTTGTATTGTATTTTGAAATTTAGATGTGCAGATTTCAGAGCATTATGAATAGGGAATGATGCAGACCTTGAGGAGGATTGGAGAAAGAAGTGAACATTCCTTGAGACACTTCTCCATGAAAAAGTCATGATATTGAATTACCTATTTTCATACAAAAATTAGAAGTACACACAAGAAAAAATTAACTTACTTTCATTTATTTGTGAAATATAGCAATGTAATTTTATATTTTTCTTTTACAGCATTGTATTACCATTTTTTTCTTATTAGAACATTATACATTGAAAAATCAACCCAACTAAAGAAGTAAATATTGCTTTGTATTTGTATGACATTGCCACAATTGGATAGATTTTTCAAAGCACAATGTTGTAATACAAAAAATAAATGAAAGTAGGATGCTACAATAAACAAATCAACATATACCTCATTTATGCTCTTTGCATTTTCAAGTTTATTATGCATAACATGCCAATTTAGTTCAAGAACCTAAAAAGAAGATAAAAGAAAACGTTATTCAATCATATAATAATATAATATCACTTCTACCTTTGTTAGTTGACAAAAGAGAGATCAATAACCACATTAACATCGGTTTAATAAATAAATAATTAGGAAATAGTAATATAAATTTATATTTCTTTACCCATAATAACAACAAACTTATAGTATGAAACTTATAAAATATATACTTTATTTTTTACATAACATACTTGTCTTTTTACTGATAATAGTTATATATTGTTATTATTGGTAAGGAAATGTAAGTATATTGTTATTTATATACTTAAGAACATGATTTTACTTTTACCTCAAAGGTTAGATAATGTAGAAGGCTATTTATAAATTTAAAGCATATTCCCGCATAGTATTGATGATGTAGAGATTGCATTTCTATGCATATCACATACACGTGCACCCTACAACAACAAAAAAAGTATAATTACAAAAAAAATATAAAGAGTAAAATTAAAAGAAGATATTTTTATCTTTTTAATAATTATTGATGTTAGAGGTATTTAGTCTCATACTTGATGTAGTTGCCAAGCTGCACAAAGTTGTCTGTGAACATGTTTGCAATGAAATAGAAATCGAAAAATTAATTGATATTTTGTCAGAGCTTTTCTTGATATCACAAGAGATAATGGCCATTGAACCTATAACAAAAATAACAACTTACTTTCATTTAATTGATAATTAGAAAATTAGAAAATTAGAAAATTAGATAATTAGTAAAGTAGTTTCATTTATGGGTTAATCTTATAAAAGACCTTATACTTTGTGTTTTTTCCGGGTTAAACCTCATCTTTATTTTTTTTCATGATATATTTTTTCATTTTTTGCGAAAAAACCCTCAATCTTCTAATTGTTTCCAAATAAATCCCCAACATTTTTAGTTTTTCCTGAAAAAAACCTCACATTATACAACTTCTTTAGAGAAGAATGACTAAAAGGGCCAGAGGTCTTTTTCATGAAAAGAATAAAGTTGAGGTCTAATCCGAAAAAAACACAAAAGATAAGGTCTTTTATGAGATTAACCCTAATTCCAATTATAACATTGTAATATTGAAAATGATTTGTATTTGCTATAAATAACTAAATGGATTTTTTCAAAGTAGAAAGTTGTAATAGGAATAGATGATATTAAGATGTTATAAATTTACAATAAACAAATGAATGAAAGTAGGTTGCTATTTCTTGCAATTAATGAAAGAAAGAAAAAAAATGTTAAAGGAGTGTTGATGATGATAATTACCTTGTAATTAACAGAGAAGGTTTCCATACCAGTGATCAAAGGCTCTTCTACAACATCAGCCTCTGAAACTGTCTCACCACCATCACCTGTTTGAAGATCTTTCAGAATGCTCAGTCTCTTAAACAAAGAACCTACGTCCTGAAAACCCATAATAATTAATAAAATATTAATTAATTATTTCATAAAGTAGAATTCATGTTGTAATGGGAATAAATGAAACTGACCACAGAGCATGTGACATCTTCATGCAAAGGATCTGCTACAGTTGCTGTTGAACGCAGTGCAAGGTCCAACAAAGACTGAAAATTAAATTTAAATAAATGAAAAACATAAATTTTACAAAATAAAATAAAAAAATAGCAGTGTACTTTCATTTTCATTTATTTGTGTATTATATTTATAGCATCAAACTCTTTATGCTGCAGAAAGAACGACTAAATACAGAGAAAGTCAGGAAATTGAGTATTTCCTGATAAGTCATAAGATGGCCTATATGGAAAGTAGGATGCTATAAAATGACATAAATGAAAAAGTACATTGCTATTTAGTAACATAAATAAAATATTTTATTCAATTTATATTTAGGAACCTAATTTCTGCTTAAAGCCACACTAGCTATAAGAAGACATAAACAGAAAGCACACTGTTATAAAATGACATAAACGAAGAGTGCATATCTATAAAATGAGAAAAGCAGAATATTTTAGTCAATTTATAGAAACTTACTTTCTATTTGAAGCAATAGTAGATATAAGACGACATAAAAAGCAAGTATGCTGCTATAAAATGACATATTGGAGAAGAAGATGGTCCATGTGGTTTCAATTTCTTACTATAAAACGACTACTTTACCCTTTTGAATATATATTCTCATTTTCTTCTATTTATTTCTGATTTATATATTAATAATAAAAATAGGACCCCACCATCCCCATACCCTTGTACCCAGCCCACCCTCCACCCTTCATCATCCTCTTTCCGGTCACAACACTATCAAATACACCACCTTCAAATTTTGAGTCCAAATCTCAGAGGGAACCGAGTTTCATCCAATACTTCACAAGATCAACGAATATAAACACAAAGAAAAAACAAACTACACACCAACACAATGTGAAATACAGAGCCACCATTTGTTTACAGTGGGAAGAAATATTCGCACTGATAAACAAATCCAAAATAAATTTCAACAATAGTTTCTGACCCAGTTTCTCATTTTAATTTAGGCAAGGAAGAATATCTAGATAGATAAAACTTCAATAAAATGAAACATATACAAACTGATGCAAAGAGAACCTCCAAGGAATAGCCGTTGAGACTAACTGTTAGTCATCGACCAGACCAACACTTGTTATTGCTGTTAGGCTTCAAAAGCAAGTACATCAAAACCTTCACCTTCACACCTGCAATTGATTACAAATCTTATTTATTTTCATTTTTGTTTACTTCTATTTCATATTTCTTCGTGCCAACAGAAGAATGTAGTTGATGGGGTTGCTGTTCTTTGTGGTAAAGGGTCGTGAGTCATGATCTGGCAAGGAACTAAAGAGATAGTGCATGAGAAAACTGGTGGTTACTGGTGGAGGGTGGTAGTGATGAAGTGGGGTTGAGGGAGGTATGGTGTCGATCATGAAGACGAACTGAGATGGATGGGTTAGGGATAGTTTTAATGGATTTTTATTTTTTTTTAATCAATTTAAATTATAATATAAAAAGAGAAAATGACAAAAATAATCATTTACACTAATTACATTACAAAAATAGCCAAAAAAAAATCGAATTTGCAAAACTAGCCACGAATTTCGCAGATGGAATAGCCTCATTTGCGATTTGCACATTCCATCTGCGAATGTACAAGTGGCTAAATCACAAGTGTGCTTTAGCCACTTGTACATTCGTAGGTGGATTTGTTTTTTTAATTTTTTTCTCTCTATATATAGGGCATTTGACGGTTAAAATCACAGATGGACTGTGTCCATCTGCGATTTACTCTGTATTCCATCAGCGAAATTGCATATTTTTTTTAATTTTTTTTTAGTTTGACTATTAAATCAATTGGTTTGACTACGAAATAATGTTACTATATAAAAAGTTTTGTAGAAAATTATCAGTTTAGTTGTTATTTGTTTAGGAAATTTCTTTAAAATTCTCTCTAAAAAATGATTGAATATTTGGTTTGTCTTGTAACCGGTGGGAGATGGCAAGTTATTGGAACAAATCTGGAATACGTATGTCCACATGGAGGTATTTCTGAATTTGCTTTGATATTTTCTGAGTGTATTAGTTATAGTGATTTTGTATCTTTGGTGAGAAGCAAAACTGGTTTGTTAGACAAATATAGAATTAGTCTTCGTTTCCATCATCCTGAATTAAATTATTATATAACTATAGTTGAAGACATGGATGTTAGAATGTTGATAAATGTAATCAAATGTAGTGGATGAAGGACTGTGAAAGTGTTTGTGGTGGTTGATGAAGTAGATGAGGTTAATGAGGGTGGTCATAGTGGAAATCAGTCGGTTGGTAATTTATGCAGTTATAAAGGGAGCAACGATCCAATAGGTACTTTCAATACTCCTAGTGTACCTCAGTTTCACAGTGTTGCTGAAAATGTTAATGTTAGTTATTCACCTATTAACTATGTGGATCCTGAGAATTACAAGTATGTTGGTGATGATGATGTTGGTACATATCTTAATGATGTGGGTGGTCGTTGTGATGATGTTGCCGAACAAGAAGTTAAAGTTATGAATAGGCGTGTGGTAGATAAAAGTAAAAAGAAAAAAATCAAAGTAAAAAAAAAGAAAAAAAAGCATGTTTACGGGGATTATGTTGATGTTGCTGATGTACGTTTAGATATAACCGACCTACAAACCAATTCAGATAGAGATGACTTGGGTGATGAAGTTAAAGTTAAGTTTCCCGATAACCTTTTTTACGGTATGCCCCCTGTAGCAGCATGCCCAGTTGATATTAATGAAGATATCCCAACACAGATGGTAGACAAGAATCTTCAAAAGATTGAATGTGAGTATATTTAAGAACAAAGAACTTTTAAAGCGGTGTATTGGTAAAAAATGTCTTCGAGAAGGTTTTCAGACGAGGACAAGTAGATCCACCAAATCAAGGTATGAGGCTGTGTGTGTTTCGAAAAAATGTTCTTGGTTACTAAGAGCAAAAGCAATTAAAAATTCTGATGGACTTTTCCAAGTTAATAAATTTGTTGATGTACATACTTGTTCCTCAACAATTTTGCAACCTAATCATCAACAAGCAAACAAATATGTTTTGGGTGAATATCTTGTTGATGTTTTGGTTGAAGATTATAGTAGAGTTTATCGGGGAAAAGATATTGTTAATGATATGAATGCTCAATTGAATATCAATATCTCATACCATCAGACATGGCGTGCGAAGCAATATGCATTGTTGTCGTTAAGGGGTACGAAAGAGGATTCTTTCATTCATTTTTCTGTTATGCTTATATGCTGTTCATTCATATTTATCTTTACTTCTTATGCTCATAAAATACTGTTTGTTCATATATTGCAGTTGGTGCAAATGGATCTGGCAAATCAAACTTCTTTTCAGGTATGTGTAGCATAATATTTCAATCATCTAATTTCTAACTAATTGAGAATTACATTCTAACTTAATTTATTCCTGAAGCAATTCGTTTTGTGATAAGCGACCTCTTTCATAACCTACGTAATGAAGATAAACACGCCTTCCTCCATGTATGCTCCTTGTTTATGTCTCCATGACCTATCAATTCATCATATATTAGTTGGTTTGTGATAATTTAATCACCACTTTTTTATGAACATTTCTCAGGAAGGAGCAGGACACCAAGTTCTCTCAGCTTTTGTTGAGATTGTATTTGATAACTCTGACAATCGCATCCCAGTAAATCTTCATCACCTACTTATGAACTTAATAAAACATTTTCCCTAATTTCTATTTTGGTTGCTGAATTCTTTTCTACCACTTGAAGGTCGATAAAGAGGAGGTGCATCTACGAAGAACAATCTGGACAAAAAAGGATGAATATTTTCTTGATGGGAAGCATATCACGTGAGTACCACAATATGAATAATAATCTTTCCACTTCTACCCTTAATATTAATGAGTGTCTTAACAACAAAATTGCAGGAAAACTGAAGTTATGAATCTTCTAGAAAGTGCAGGGTTCTCCCGTTCCAATCCATATTATGTTGTGCAACAGGGGAAGGTAGGAAATAATATGGCATCTCCTTTGTTTGATTTTGATGTGTATATAATTAAGCTGTTGATAATAAATAATCCCCATGAGTTTATTGTAGATTGCATCATTGACTTTGATGAAAGATGCTGAACGACTTGATCTACTGAAGGAAATTGGTGGGACCCGAGTTTATGAAGAGAGAAGGTGTGAAAGCTTGAAAATCATGCAAGAAACTGGCAAGTTATTGTTTTGAATTTTATACTTTTCATATACCAGATGCTTTTTCTTGAATTTTGTATATAATCAGGAAACAAGAGAAACCAAATAATTCAAGTTGTGCAATACTTGGATGAGAGATTAAGAGAGCTGGATGAAGAGAAAGCAGAGTTGAAAAAGTATCAACAGCTTGATAAACAGAGGAAGTCTCTAGAATACACCATTTATGATAAAGAACTTAACGATGCACGAAAGGAATTGGTTGAGGTAAATCCTTTTCTTTTCTTTTCTTTCTTATTTTATTTGGATTTGTATAAACATGTCTCATTTGATGCCAGGTGGATGAGGAGAGAAATGCTATATCTGAGGAGTTAGTTAGGAAGTATAATGCATCTGTAGAAGAAGAGGAAGAAGTAAAGAAATTACACAAGTCATTTAAAGATTTGACCAGAGAAGTTCAGGGTTTGACTAGAGAGAAACAGACAATAGAGAAACAACGAACAGTAGCTGTTAAAAAGCACACTGAAGTTGAGCTTGATGTGAAAGACCTTGAAGAGAAAATCATTGGGAGTAGTAAAGCAAAGGTATTATTTTAACTTCATAAACACTTCACATAGATTATAGGGCTAAATTCAAAAAATAGCAAAGTACTTTGATTTATTTGTGGATTATAGCATCTTATGCTCATTTATTTCTATTAAAGCGTTGATTTTTTGTTCTTACTAATGCGATGTTCTTTAAAATCTACCCAATTATAGCCTTCTACTTTCAATCTTTTTCTTATTATGACAACTGAATTTAAGAAATATACTCAATTATAGCAGTGAAAAAGGCTTCTCATATGGATGACATTGCTATAATTGGGTAGATTTTTCAAAATACAATGCTGTAATAGGAAAAGATTAAGTATGATGTTAATGTTAATATGTTAATATGTTATAATAAACAGATCAATGAAAGTACATTGCAATTTCTTGCATTTCATTGTAGATTAAAAGAAAAAGAGATAGTAGAGACCTATAATTATAAATTCTATTGTTTGAGTGTTATGGCAGTCTACTTCTAGTTCTTTCTATTACAGCAGAGTAACTTTTTATTTATTTATTTATTTATTAAAGAGGCATTGTTCTTTGAATAATCTACCTAATTGTAGCATTGTACATCCAATTTGTTTCTTATTAGGGCATTATAATAAATAAATAATTGAAAGTACTTCTCTATTTCTTGCATTTAACCCTAAAGTAAAGAAATAAGAACAATACGAATTGAGACCTATCTCATCATAAAAGTCACTTTTGTAAAGTCAATATCTTAAGTAGTTTATAACAGTTTAAATCACTTCACATATAATTTTATACAAAATTCAAGGATGTGGAAGAACTTGTGGATATTTCAGGAAGCTGTTCTACTTTTTTCATATAAAATTTTGTGGTGTAGGATGAAGCTGGAAAGCAGCTTGAGGTTCTTCAGAGAGAAATCAAGGAATCCACATCAGAGTTAAACAAAACCAAACCTTTATATGACAAACAAGTTAAAGCAGAAGAGGACATCACCAAAGAGTATTTCTTCATACTTTCCTTTTTCTGTTTGACTTTTTAGTGTTTCTTCTTAATTTCTCTCTTGACTTTTTTCTTGGTCTTGATTTGTTTCTATGACAGAATTATGAAAAAAGAAAAGCAGCTGAGTGTACTCTATCAGAAACAAGGTCGTGCAACACAATTTCGTTCTAAAGCTGCACGTGATGAGTGGCTACAAAAAGATATTGATAAGTATAACAAGGTTTTGTCCTCAAATGAGAAACAGGTATGTATAATCATTACATTACATATATATACATATACATGAATGGAAATAATGTTTTTGAGGTCTTAACTATAAAACGGTTTCCTTTTGTTATATTATAATAGGAGAATCTACTGAATGATGAAATCAGTAAACTTGAGAGAGATATGGAAGCACAAGAAGACCATGTCCAAAATCGTCAAAAGGAGATAAATGCTTTAGAAGCTCGAATATCTAGTTATCGCAAAGGTTTCAATAAGCATAAGTCAAAAGGAGATGAGCTTCATGATAAGCGAAAGTATACCTTTTTTTTGCTTTTTGATTGGATTATTTATTTCATTTTAAATGTATCAGATGCTGATTTTTAAAACCTTTTTAGGGCTTTATGGGGGACAGAAAGTGAAATTACAGCTGAAATCGAGCGTCTTAAATCAGAAGTTGTGAAAGCAGAAAAAGCCTTGGATCATGCTACTCCTGGGGTATGTTAATACTTAATAAATACATTTGTACTTATCATTATTGAATGTATATTTGCTTCTAGAAGATTTGAATGTTGTCATATTCATGAAAGTGAATTATTATTTTTATCTTACAAATAACAGGATATAAGGAGGGGAATTAGTACAGTTAGAAGAATCTGCAGAGAGTACAGCATTACTGGAGTTTTTGGTTCACTTATCGAGTTGCTTGAATGTGATGAAAATTTATTCACAGCTGTTGAAGTTACTGCTGGAAACAGGTTTTCACAAAGTCTTTTCTAGACACTTGTCTTTCTAAAATTTCTTGCTTATATATAAACTTGTATATATATATATATATATATATATATATATATATATATATATATATATATATATATATATATATATATATATATTTTCTATGAAGCTTATTCCATGTGGTGGTTGAAAATGATGACATTTCAACACAAATGATTCGACACCTTAATGCAGAGAAAGGTGGTAGAGTTACATTTATACCCCTTAATCGTGTCAAAGCTCCTCATGTCACTTATCCAAAAACTTCTGATGTGATTCCTCTTCTCAAGAAATTAAAATATTCTCCCAATTATGAGCAGGCATTCTCTCAGGTTAGCAGTTTCCCATGTTTCCTTTTCTTTTTTTCATGCTGTGATAATAATATTAGTTTTTTATTTTTTTATTTATTTTTCACACTACTAGAAAACTTAGTAATTACCTACGGCAGAATTGGTAGGAAATCCGTAGGAAAAAGGCATTACCTACAGATTTCCTACAAAAAACGGGTTGTAGGGAAAACCCTCGTGGGTAATTTTTTCCTACAAATTAGCTACACACGTTCATACGGATTTCCTACGGAATATTCTGTTACAAATTTAACTACGGAATACCTACGGAATACATTAACTACGGAATACCTACGAATTACCTATGGGTTATTTACCTACGCAACACCTACAAAATACATACGAATGATTTTCCTACAGAATACCAACGAACTGATTTTCCCACGGAATACCTACCAACTACTTTACCTACAGATTACCTACCAACTGCTTTGCTACAAATTACCTACAGATTTTATTTCCTACAGATTACCTACCAACTGTTTTTGCTACAAATTACCTACAAATTTTATTTCCTACAGATTACCTACAGAATATTTATTTCCTACAAATTTTCTATGATTTTTTTTACCAATTTTTATTGCTATATTAAATTTAAAATTTAAAAAATATCCAAATTTTAAGCTAAAAAAACCAAATAAATAATTAAAATAATAGTCAAATACCATTACATTTATTACCATTAAAATAGTCATTAACATACCATTCATACATTCAAATATCATTACAATACCATGACAAAAGCTACGAACTAGTTAATAACATAACATTAATTTAGTGTTCTAAAACAAAAACTAAGAGCTACTTGGTGGATTAACGGACGGATTGATTTGTTTCATAAAGGCCGCCAATTGTCGTTGCACTTGCAATTCCATATCATTTCGCATTTGTTGCATTTGCAAATTCATTTCACTTTGCTTTTCATCCATGGCTTGTTGCATGTTTGACACTTGTTGTGGCAACTCATTTACCTAAATATAGCAAGACAAACACATGCACTTAGTAAATGTAATTCAACTTTAAACCATGATAGCAATGTACTTTACTTTTAATTCAATATAAAAACACATTGATCATAATAACAATGTACATTGTTTTTAATATCCATAATAATAACTTTTAATATGCATAATAATAACATACTATATTTTTATCCATTATACCATTGTACTTTACATTTCCAATCCATAATATCAATGTACTTAAATTATTATCAATAACAACAATTTACTTTACCCGATATCAATAATAGCAACATAGTATCATTTTCAACCATAATAACAATGCACTTTACCTAATATTAATAATGGCAAAAAATATCTTTTGTGCATTATGGATTCCAATTGAAGATAATAAAATGAAAGATGTTACATATTGACGAATCCAGAGCTCAACACATTGTAATCACTTACAATATTACAGCTTACATATTCTGGTAGTGTGTAGCAATTATGAAAAACAAATCTAAAAAAAATAGAAATTAGAAAATGATGACATCAAGTTAAGTTAATTTTGACTTTCCCAGTACCAAATCAGACTAGACCTAAGGTCAAATACAAGTCCCCAATACTAACTAGATAAATAAAAACAACTTGGTAAGATAAAATGTTCAAGAAGCAAACCTTGCCTTAAGCATAAGCAAATCTCAATGTAACAAGTGTCCAGATAAACATCCTAGGGCCCAAACCTGTTCATGAAACAAACATGTTCTCAGTGTCACTCTACATATGAAGACCTGTTCACAATATACTAAAATTAATATAGAAATGCATGACGTTATCTGTTTGAACAATCATTTTTTTGCATTTATATGATTACCCATAACCACATGTTGATACTGAAAAAGTCTATTACATTACTTTTCCTTTAATACTCTGGATAGTTAAAAAAAATGTAAAGCATATATAGAATTTTAGGGAAAAATTCATCGAAAAGTGAGAACATAACGAAACTCACCAACATACGTGATTTAGAGAAGTCATGTCTCAGATAACTTCCAGCTAATTCATATAGGCTTTTATTTATTCAAATATCATCCTGTAATATAAATATGCAACAAACATTCTAAGAATGAAAATATATGTAGAGAAATCTAATCTAGATGTGAGTAACTCACGTTAAGGATACCAAAAATCTAAAAGAATTTATATCATACCAACATTAGTTCAATTAATCCTTAGAATATTCATGCAATATATATATATATATATATATATATATATATATATATATATATATATATATATATAACTTCAACATTGTATTAACAGAAATACAATAAAAAATACGCATGTTGCCACTAAATTCAAGGGAAAAACCAAGGAACCAACAAACCTTGATTTAAATGCTCTTGGTGCCACAGTGAGTGCATAGTTGCTTCATTAAGTCTTCCAATGCTAGAGAAAGCATTCCCTGTGGCATGTTTGAAAAAGTATAAAGTGTTATGGGAATTTCACTTTTCAAAAACTAAGAACTTATTTAATATTTATCAAACCAAAGTTGCAACATCCTTATGTATGAGGTTGGTCATGTCAAAGACCATTATGCAAAAAAAAAAAAAAAAAAAAAAACCTAAGAAAACTGAAGATCCTACATACCATAATAAAAAACTTAGGCAAAAAATGTATAGCAATTTTAAAATCCAAGTATCCTAAGCAACAACGGAGGCACCAAAATCTCAAATATTTAGAATTGCTGATTAATGATTAAGATAATTAGGAAGTAACCTCTTGAATGAACAAATGGTGTGTGCAGAGAAGGCATGACAGTCATGGTGGCAGCAACAGTCGCCGGTGGCTATTGTGGAGCAACATCAATTGGTGGCTATGGTGGTGGTGGCGGCAACAGTTTCTAGTGGTGGTGATGATGCGGCAATCGTAGGATTATAGGAAAGAAACGAACGGTTGTAGAATTAGGGTAAGGACGAGATACAAATTAAGAGATATTGGGCAAACTGAAATCGTACCTGGGGTGTCGCCGATGGTAGTGTGTGGCAGCGACGGTGGTGGTATGGTGCAGCGACGGTGGTGGTACGGGGCAGCGTCGGCGGTGGTGTGCGACAACGATGGTTGGTTGGCAAACCTGCAACAGTTTGGTCAATGTGGGTCGCCGATCGATCGTTTGGAAATCGTAGAAGTCGAATTGGTTACCGAAAAATGTCGCCGATGTACGTATCAGTCGAGAATCACTGGCGGATGTGTGCTGGTTTGGAAATCGCCAATCGCCGGTGTAAGCTAGGGCTTTGTTTGCGACGAGCTAGTTGCACGATTAGTGAAGCGGGAAACAATTTGGGTTTTAGAAGGCGTAGCAAATCGGTAGCAGATGGAAATCGTAGGAATTTTGTAGGTATAAACAAATTGGGAAATTGATGTATAATATTATAATTAAATATAATTTGAAAAGCATGAGTTACGCATTACAATGGATAAAAGTTATTTTCTCTATAGTGTATAAATATTCTATTTTTTTATATAATTAATATAGTGTAGAAATATTCTAGTTTTTTTAATGAAATATTTTACATTTTTTATTCATTATAAAAATATAATTTAAATCGAATAATTGAAAATAAACCCATCCATATAGTACTTTCGAAAATTTAAATTTATTTAACTTTAATATTTACTATAAAAAATGAAATTGAAAAAACAATATTTTCTTTTAAAAATTAGAAAAAAACGTAGGTAATCTGTAGGTAAATACCTACGGATAAGTCCAATCCGTAGGTATTTACCTACAGAGTACCTACAGTTTTTTAAAATTTTTGTATTTTTCAAGGATCTAATGTCGTTTTTTTCGTTTTATTTTTTCACAACATCATTATACTTTGATTGCTTTGTTTTGACAAAGTTATATATCATATAAACGTATGTAGAAGAATGTGCATCATTAGAACTCATTACTATATATGATACAAAAAACTATTTATGTTTGTTATTGACCAACAATTAACCTCATTAAACAAATACATGATATACTGAACATAATACATACATATGGTTTGTATGTAAATATGTGTATTTGTGTATAGAACATAACTTTCATTTATATTATATATAAAAAAAAGAATAATAAAGTTGTAGACCAGTAACGGGTTCTAACGATGCATACGTTTGTATGTAAGTTTATGTTATGTATAACTTTATGAAAAGAAAGAAACCAAAGTAAAATGATATTGTGAAAAAAATGAAATTGAAAAAACAATATTTTCTTTTACAAATTAGAAAATAAAAAACAACTGTAGGTAATCTGTAGGTAAATACCTACGGATTACCTACGGATAAGTCCGATCCGTAGGTATTTACCTACAGAGTACCTACAGTTTTTTTTTTTTTTTAATTTTTTTATTTTTCAAGGGTCTATTATTGTTTTTTTCGTTTCATTTTTTTTCACAACATCATTATACTTTAATTGTTTTGTTTTGACAAAGTTATACACCATATAAACGTATGTAGAAGAATGTGCATCATTAGAACTCATTATTATATATGATACAAAAAGCTATTTATGTTTATTATTGACCAACAATTAACCTCATTAAACAAATACATGATATGCTGAACATAATACATACATATGGTTTGTATGTAAATATGTGTATTTGTGTATAGAACATAACTTTCAATTATATTATATAAAAAAAAAAGAATAATAAAGTTGTAAATCAGTAACGGGTTCTAACAATGCATACGTTTGTATATAAGTTTATGTTATGTATAACTTGATGAAAAGAAAGAAACAAAAGTATAATGATATTGTGAAAAAAATGAAATTGAAAAAACAATATTTTCTTTTAAAAATTAGAAAATAAAAAAACAACCGTAGGTAAATACCTACGGATTACCTACAGATAAGTTCGATCCGTAGGTAATCTATAGGTATTTACCTACAGATTACCTACGGTTTTTTTTAATTTTTGTATTTTTCAAGGGTCTATTATCGTTTTTTTCGTTTCATTTTTTTCACAACATCATTATACTTTGATTGCTTTGTTTTGACAAAGTTATACACCATATAAACGTATGTAGAAGAATGTGCATCATTAGAACTCATTATTATATATGATACAAAAAGCTATTTATGTTTGTTATTGACCAACAATTAACCTCATTAAACAAATACACGATATACTGAACATAATACATACATATGGTTTGTATGTAAATATGTGTATTTGTGTATAGAACATAACTTTCAATTATATTATTTAAAAAAAAGAATAATAAAGTTGTAAATCAGTAACGGGTTCTAACGATGCATACGTTTGTATATAAGTTTATGTTATGTATAACTTGATGAAAAGAAAGAAACAAAAGTATAATGATATTGTGAAAAAAATGAAATTGAAAAAACAATATTTTCTTTTAAAAATTAGAAAATAAAAAACAACCGTAGGTAATTTGTAGGTAAATACCTACGGATTACCTACAAATAAGTCCGATCCGTAGGTAATCTGTAGGTATTTACCTACAAATTACCTACGGTTTTTTTTAATTTTTGTATTTTTCAAGGGTCTATTATCGTTTTTTTCATTTCATATTTTTTCACAACATCATTATTCTTTGATTGCTTTGTTTTGACAAAGTTATACACCATATAAACGTATGTAGAAGAATGTGCATCATTAGAACTCATTATTATATATGATACAAAAAGCTATTTATGTTTGTTATTGACCAATAATTAACCTCATTAAACAAATACACGATATACTGAACATAATACATACATATGGTTTGTATGTAAATATGTGTATTTGTGTATAGAACATAACTTTCAATTATATTATATAAAAAAAAGAATAATAAAGTTGTAAATCAGTAACGGGTTCTAACGATGCATACGTTTGTATATAAGTTTATGTTATGTATAACTTGATGAAAAGAAAGAAACAAAAGTATAATGATATTGTGAAAAAAATGAAATTGAAAAAACAATATTTTCTTTTAAAAATTAGAAAATAAAAAACAACCGTAGGTAATTTGTAGGTAAATGCCTACGGATTACCTACGGATAAGTCCGATCCGTAGGTAATCTGTAGGTATTTACCTACAGATTACATAGGGGTTTTTTTTTTTTTTTTTTTTTTTTTTTTTTTTTTTTTTTTTTTGTATTTTTCAAGGGTTTAATGTCGTTTTTTTTCGTTTCATTTTTTTCACAATATCATTATACTTTGATTGTTTTGTTTTGACAAAGTTATACATCATATAAATGTATGTAGAAGAATTTGCATCATTAGAACCCATTACTATATATGATACAAAAAGCTATTTATGTTTGTTATTGACCAACAATTAACCTCATTAAACAAATACATGATTACTGAACATAATACATACATATGGTTTGTATGTAAATATGTGTATTTGTGTATAGAACATAACTTTCATTTATATTATATAAAAAATAATAATAATAAAGTTGTAAATCAGTAACGGGTTGTAACGATGCATACGTTATGTAAGTTTATGTTATGTATAAGTTGGTGAAAAGAAAGAAACCAAAGTATAATGATATTGTGAAAAAAATGAAATTGGAAAAACAATAGTTTCTTTTAAAAATTATAAAATAAAAAAAAACGTAGGTAATCCGTAGGTAAAATACCTACGGATTACCTACGGTTTTTTTAATAATAATAAAATTATAAAGTCGTTGGTATTTCGTAGTTATTTTGTACCTATTTTCTTCTGTTGGTAGGTTGTAGTTATTCTATAGCTAATTACCTACGGAATTCCTACCGACTTATTTTCGTCGCTATTCCGTAGCTAGTTTGTAGCTAAATAGGAACGGAATACCTACAGATACGTGTTAGTTGTTATTCCGTAGATATTCTGTAACTATTCCGTTATTAACTTAGGGCATCCCATTCCGTAGGAATTCCGTTGGTATTGTGTAAGTAATTACCTACGGAAATTTTCGGTAGCTATTTTTCTGTGGCTAAACCCTTTATTTTCTAGTAGTGTCAGGTGTTTGCTAGAACAGTGATTTGTAGAGATTTGGATGTTGCTACTCGTGTTGCACGTACTGATGGTTTGGACTGCATTACTGTTGAAGGTTTTGTTTTAACTATATTTTTTTTTGCTTTTCTTTTTTCATTTATATATTTCTGTTAATTTTTTAAATTTGTTACAGGTGATCAAGTTAGCAAAAAGGGTGGTATGACAGGTGGATTTTATGATAAAAGGCGTTCAAAGCTTAAGTTTATGAACCTCATTCGACAAAATGCCTTGTCAATCACTGAAAAGGAAAATGAACTCCAAAATGTCAGATCAGAACTTCAAGATATCCTTTTTCTTTTTCATTTATATATATATATATATATATATATATATATATATATATATATATATATATATATATATATATATATATTCTCAAGGTGTCTTTACTGGACATTTTTTTCTAGGGCTGTTTTTGATGATGAGTATGAGGGTATTTACGTCTTTTGTACAGTGTTGTTATGACTTGACTCTCCTTACTTATAGACAAGGAAATCAATGCATTAGTTGCTGAGCAGCAGAAAGATGATGCTGAGCTGGCACATGAGAAATCAGAAGTGGAACAGCTTAAACAAGAAGTTGCTAATGCTAAGAAGCACAGTCTTAACATCTCAAAAGCTCTTGAAAAGAAGGTTTCCTCATTCCTTCCATTGCTAAGCTTCATGAGTTATTCCAATCATTTTGTTCTTTTTTAACTTTTTTTGATTGAATTTCAGAGGAAGTTGCTTGCAAATGTGGAGACTCAAATCGAGCAAGTGAAAAATAATATTGAAATGAAAAGAGATGAAATGAGAACAGAACTTGTTGATCATTTAAGCCCAGAGGAAAAGACTCTGCTCTCACGTTTGAATCCTGAAATAGCAGAACTTAAAGAAAGGCTTGTAGCCAGTAGGGCTACCCGAGTAGAGGTTTGCTAATATAATAATTTTGCTTGGAGTTATTTAAAAAAATAGTTAATAATTTTTTTTATAATATATATATTTTTATGGATTGGTAGATTGAAACAAGAAAAGCAGAGCTTGAGACGAATCTATCAACAAATCTTGTTAGAAGGAGACAAGAACTGGAGGCAGTTCAACAGTCTCAAGAAGCTGATAATTTAAATGGTGAAGTTGATGCAAAGAAGCAGGAGCTTCTAGAGGCAAAAATGGCTGTTGAAGAAGTGAAAAAACAGCTCAAAAGTAACCACTCACTCTAGCCCCTGCTTCTTATTTATTTCCCATTAAGTGCAACTGCTGTCTTGTTTAAAAAATAATTAAGGAAATGGAAGGTGTAAAATTGCAAGAAATAGCAACTTACTTTCATTTCTTTCTATTACAGCATTATACTTTGACAAATTTTACAGTTCTATAGCAATTTTCACTGCTATAATTGGTAGATTTTTCAAAGTACAATGCTCTAAATGGGTAGACTCAATGCCTTAATAAGAATATATTTGAAAGTAAAATGCTGTAATAGAAAGAAATGGAAGTTGAATGCTATATATAAAATCAAAATACATTGCTATGTCTCGCATTTAGCCTTAAAATAAATGAGAGAATGTAAAAAAAATTAAGACTTATTCTTAATGGGGAAAGAAGACACAATACCTTAGATTCTCTACATCAAACTGATTGGTTTCCTTGTCTAAGCATTATATTGTATTCTTTTCAAATATCAACAGGAGTTTCTGAAAGCATAGATGATCGCAACAAGGAACTCAAGAAAATCAACACGAAGAAGGCTGATTCAAAGGTAATTTATAATGAAAGATTGCAGATATATATGTATTGTGATTTTCAACTGTTCTCTGGTAATAATACATTTTCTTTTAAGTGTAGGGTCGTTTGGAGGAGTATGAAAAGACACGCCAAAATGAAGATAAAAGAGCAGAACAACTTATTAGTAGAAAAAACATTTTGCTTGCAAAACAAGAAGAGTTCAACAAGAAAATCAGAGAACTGGGTCCTTTATCATCAGATGCCTTTGAAATGTACTACTCTCTTCACCATCTTATTTAAAGTAACTAAACTTCTAGGGCTATTTTTGACTGAGGATGAGGAGGGTATTTACGTCTTTTACTCGGACCAGATACCAATACCAGTTCTAGTCTAATATTAGCATGGCAAATGTGGATATTGAAGTGACAGTTTTTTTTTTTTTTTAGTAATCTGTAAATTAAGGTGGTTTCCTTTTTTGTGTTTTTAACATGGTGAAAATACATTACATTACTGCAGGCACAAGAAGAAGAGCATAAAGGAACTATATAAAATGCTGCACAAGTGCAATGAGCAGTTAAAGCAGTTTAGTCATGTAAACAAGAAAGCTCTTGATCAGTATGCTAACTTTACAGATCAAAGAGAAGAACTTCAGAAACGACAACAAGAACTTGATGCTGGTGATGAGGTAATTAATTAATCATATATATATCTTAATTCCCTCCCTCACTTTTGACTTAATGGATTGGACCTAATGGGTAAAATAGTCATTAAGTCATTTATGCACATTCAGACAGTTTGTTCTGTCAAAAAAAGAAACAGACTTTGTTCATACAACACTTGAAGACTGTTTTTTTCCCATTAAGTCTTGTATAGGTAAAGTGGCTGAATGGGTAAAGATGTCTTGTCTGGATATTTTGATTTATGTATAAATTTCGTTTTCTTTTCTAGATAGACTAAATTGTCTGAATGAGACTAAGTGACCATTTTATCTTTACATTTCATAAAACAAATTTCACAAAGTCTGCTAATTTTGTTCAAGTTTATCAATTTTACTGTGAAAGGAAGTGAAAATATCTAAAGGGTTACTGTCTTAATATATTAAGCCAGATTTTTTTGACTTAACTCATTAAGTTATTTTATGTAAGATTATGTAAAAAAGAAACAGTCATATGTAGTTGTCCAGATTCAATGCATAACTGTCTTGAGCTCATTAAGTGAAAAAGAAACAAGCCCCATAATGAAAAAAAAAAAGAAACAAGCCCTTAATGGTAAACTAGATATGTTTTTCTTCAACATAATAATACAAACAGAGCAAAGAAAGTGAGGAAAACAAGGTTTCCCCGTTAAGTCCTGCCATTTTACATTATTGCCCTCATATTGTTTCCTTCTATTTTCACAAGTAGCATAATAATTTAAATATATTTAACAATGTGTTTTGTGTATCAGAAAATCAAAGAACTTATATCAGTGCTGGACCAACATAAGGACGAATCTATAGAGCGGACATTTAAAGGTGTGGCTAAACATTTTCGAGAAGTATTTTCTGAACTTGTCCAAGGTGGTCATGGGATTTTGATCATGATGAAGAAGAAGGTTGCTTTTTGTTACTTATGTTTTTTGTCCAAGGAGGTCATTCGATTTTTTTTTGATATTTAACTTGTTGATTTTTTTTTATCTATTTTATCAAAACAGGATGGCGATCCTGTTGATAATGACTATGATGAGGATGGGCCTCTACCTGATAGAGAGGGACGCGTTGAAAAATACATTGGAGTGAAATTGAAGGTATGTGTATATCATTTAGATGATAATTGATTGTTATTTGGGATTAATATATAATATTTTTGATATTTCAGGTTTCTTTCACCGGACAAGGTGACACACAGTCCATGAAGCAGTTATCTGGAGGCCAAAAAACTGTAGTAGTATTAGCTCTCATATTTGCCATACAGCGATGTGATCCTGCTCCCTTTTACCTCTTTGATGAAATCGATGCTGCACTTGACCCTCAATACCGAACAGCAGTCGGAAGTAATAACCCTATCTCTCTCTCATACTTCAAATTGAGAGCATTTACGTCTTTTTTCAAGAGATATTTTTTTTTTCAAATTTAGTATATTTTCGAGGGAGTTGACGATTTGTTTGTTTGTTTGTAGATATGGTTCGGCGTTTGGCTGATATGGCAAACACACAGTTTATTACAACAACGTTTAGGTCTGAATTGGTGACAGTTGCTGACAAGATTTATGGTGTCACGCATAAAAACCGTGTTAGTCGTGTCAATGTTGTCACCATGGAAGAGGCGTTGGATTTCATCGAGCATGATCAATCCCATAATGCTGAATGAGCTAGCTGTAAATGGTATGATTGATGTTAAATTAGAAATACAATTTCTGAAATTAGAAACAAATTTTCTTTTTCAAGTAAAATAGGGAGTTAAGTTGACTTTAAAACTAATTTTTGGTTTGTTTGGTGCAGTAATTAATGGAAGAAAGGGTGTAGGAGGATTTGGTTTGGTATTATGTATAAAGCCAGTATGCGTCTTCTTGCATTGTTAACAACCCTTATTTGATCTTTTTAGTATTGTTGTGATGGTAGAATTGATTAAACTTTGGTCCATGTTTGTGTTTAATTGGAAATATATTTGTAGAAACTAAGCACGATAGACATCATACTTTAATCTCTTCCTCTACTGTTGTTATTTGCTTTGGTTGTATTGTAATGGCATTGCCACATCATTGCCATATGGCCGACTTGGTGCCACCCTAGAACCAGAGGTGCATGTGGCCTAAAAGGTCTGGTCTGGTCAAAAAGATTTTTCAAACTAAAAAACTAAGACTGGAATTAACATATTGATTGGTTGATTTCTTAAAGAAATTTTCCTGTTTAAAAACTCATCATGAATGCTTTAGATACCAATACTATTTAGAATTAATTTCTGTTATATCTTATGCGACTAGATGACTCTTGCAAACAAATATGAAGTCATTAACGTAAAAGCCACCATGGACATTTTAAGGATGTATTGAGGCGTGTGTCTGCAGCTAGTTATATGCGCTATACCCTTTTGTTAAAAGAACAAAGAGATCTTGTTATTCGATACTAATTCAAGCATATTATAAACAAATATAATTGAACATATAGGATGTCCCTTTGTCCTCCTCAATCTTGTATTATGAAACAATTTTGTTGTGTATTATCGACATATGCATGTGGCGTTCCTTGGGACATGAATGATGGATTAGCGAACGAGATTTATTTGACATGGCAGATTAGTTAGGCAGCTCTAGAAGGATTGCTGCGGCGCCTACTGAGGAAGAAGGAGCGTCGTGAGTTTGGAAGTAAATCCTTGGGTTTCTCTCTCTCCAATATCTCTTAATTTAAACTAAGGGCATAATTGTCAACTAACTATAAAATTCCTGTGGATTGGATAACAAAATATGTCCTCATTTATTTTTTCCTTCCTTTTTCTCAGATATTCTTTTAGTTATCCATAGAGAATTTAATGGCTAGAAAGAGAAACAATAATTCTTATATGGATAACCTTTATTCTTAACCATACATATAGGATTGCCCTGATTTCTGTGACTTTATATTTCACGCTCTCTCATCTCTCTCTCTCTCTCTCTCTCTCTCTCTCAAACACACATACACACCATTGAAAATTTGAAAATGGCCGACGCTTTAGTTACTGTTGCTGCCGAGGCGATCCTGAAAAAGGTAGCATCCATAGCTGCCAACGAAATCGCCCTTGCTTGGGGTTACAAAGAGAAGTTGTACACACTTGAAGGGACCTTGAAAATGATTCGTGCCAAGTTACAGGATGCCGAGAATCAGAAACGTCAAAAACATAGTGTGATGGAGTGGCTGAAACAGCTAAAAGATGTGGTTGCTGAAGCTGATGATGTAGTCGATGAGGTTCACTACGAAATGTTGAGGCGTGAGGTAAAGAAGCGAGATCGGGTGGCAATAAAGGTACCCTCTCTCCCAAGCTTGAAAAAGCTTTTCTTTCGTAGTGAAATGGGTCATAAAATCAAAAGCATTAACGAAAAGTTGTCTCAAATCAATAAACAAGCAAACGAGTTGGGACTACAAAATGAACAGCCTGGCCCAGTTGTTGAATATCGTCCCTACCCGGAGACAGATCCAAATTTAGGCGAATTCAAAGTTGCTGGGAGGGGGGATGATGAAGAACGGATCATACACCTATTAACCGAGTCAAGAAAAGAAGAAAAGCTTACGATTGTTCCCATTGTTGGAATGGGCGGGATGGGGAAGACCACTCTGGCGAAGTCCGTATACAATAATCAAAAAATCCAGCAACATTTTGATGTGAAAGCTTGGTTGTGTGTGTCTGTTAAGGTTGACATCAAGACACTTCTGGCAAAGATCTATGAATCTCTTGCACGAGAGAAACCTAAGTCGGATACTATGGCCAATTTAGTTCAAGATCTTGAAGAGAAGTTGGGATCAAAAAGATATTTTCTAGTCCTGGATGATGTTTGGGACGAAGAGAGATTATATTGGGAAGATTTTAGGAGAGTTATGATAAATGTGAAGTCACAAATTGGAAGTAGCATTCTTGTCACTACCAGGAAACTTGACATCGGAACGAAGGCTATGTCCATGGATTCATGTTCTTTAAAAGGTCTTTCTGATGATGATTGTTGGAACATCTTTAAAGAGAGGGCCTTTCTAGTAGGACAATCACCACAACCTGAATTGGAGGAGATAGGGCGTGATATTGTCAAAAAGTGTTGTGGTTTGCCTTTGCTATTAAATGTAATAGGAGGAATGTTGCAAAATTACAGTGACACTGAGAAGTGGTTAGCCATCAAAAATAGCAAAGTTTGGGATTTAGAAGATGAAAGGGAGAGAGTTCAAAAGAGTTTGGAACTGAGCTTTGATAACCTCCCCAATTCTATGGCCAAGCAATGCTTTGCATATTGTTCCATCTTTAAGAAAGATAAGGTCATGAAAAGGGAAAGACTGGTTCAACTTTGGATGGCTTTAGGGTTGGTTCAAGCGGATGAGGAAAGAAACAAGGAGATGGAGGATGTGGGGAATGATATTTTTCAAATTTTGGTCAACAATTCGTTGTTCGAAGATGTTGAAAGGGATGAGTATGGTCACATCACTCATTGTAGCATGCATGATCTGGTGCATGATCTTTCATTATCACTTTCAAAACATGAAAGCTTATGTTTGGTGGATGCGACAAATGATAGACATTGCATGTATCCCTCAGGTTAAACATCTTGCTTTTTACCAAGAAGAGAACGAGGATGATGAATTGAAAGCCAAGGTTTCTATGTTCATCGAAAGGAATACAATGGCTAGAACTTTGCATACATTCTTCATCAAAGGTGAAGTTGAGGAGAAGTTTTCATTTCAACGATTAAAGTGCATACGCATCCTAAAACTCAATGGAGGTAGTATTGAAAAGTTAGACGATTCAATTGGAGGGTTGGTGCATCTAAGGTATCTTGATTTGTCATATACAGAGATCCATGTTCTTCCTGAATCGATTGGTAAATTATACCACTTGCAAACTCTGAAGTTGCAAGGTTTCCGTCATCTCAAGAAGCTTCCAAAAGCCATGAGAAATTTGATAAGCCTGCGGTATTTCATGTGTGATGAAGATATTCCCACCTATGTCCTGGGACAGTTGATTTATCTTCGAAAATTGTCTTCCGTCAAAGTGGTTGGAAGGAAGGGACAAGGTATTGAAGAGCTACGCCATTTGAATAACCTTACTGGAAGCCTCTGTATTTCCAATTTAGAAAATGTTAGGAGCAAAGAGGACGCTGTCAAGGCAGATTTATCTAGAAAGAAAAACTTATACAATATTGAATTCAGTTGGAGTGAGGAGTATCAAGGCTCCAACAGAGTTGACAAGGATGTATTGGAAGGCTTGCAACCCCCTAGAGATGTGAAAAAGTTGACATTTAGCAATTTTTCAGGTGATAATTTTGCAGAATGGGTAATGAAGATGGCAATCGATATCGAAGGGAAATGGACGCCCCTTGACAAGCTCGTGTCAATCAGATTATATGACTGTAGGAGCTGCCTCTCTCTTCCGACACTTGAGCACCTACCACATCTTCGACATCTTTGGTTGCAGAATATGGACAGCTTGACATGCTTAAGGAGTTCCGATGTTACTAGATCAACGAAGGCGCCTTTGTCTCCTTCCTTGAGATTGCTCCAACTATTTTCTATGAAAAGACTGGAAAAGTGGATAGAGGGAGCACCCAACAGCTCAAAAATGGTATCGCCTGTCCTCGAGAAGTTGTTCATTATTAATTGCCCAAAGATTATTCTCTTAGATGAATGCCATCCCCATCCTCTTGTTTCCTTAAGCATATCTGAGTGCACAGGTCTGGAGTACATTAAGAGCATACAAGGCCTTACATCTCTTGAAAATTTACATATCCAGAGCTGCCCTAGTCTTTTAGGAATACCCAATTTTCCCAACGAGTGTCATTCTTTGAAGACTTTGTCTATTAGCCATTGCAACAACCTGACTTCCTTGCCTCATGAAATGTTTTACTGTTTTGCCTTCTTAAATAAGTTGGAACTTGGTCCGTTCTCAAACGAGCTCGATTCTTTCCTAAGTCTCCAAGGCATTGAGAAGTTAAGGTACCACCTTCGCTCGTTAACATTGTATGGTGTGGATAAGTGGGAGTCGATACCTGAAGAAATACAACACCTCACCTCACTGTCTTGGTTACAAATAGATGGATTCGGAATGCGAGAACTGCCTATGTGGTTAGCCAGCATGTCATCTATCCGACAGTTGATGTTCAATGAATGCAAGGGGCTAAATAAAGAAACAGTTAGACGGGGAGCACCACAGGAAGCAACTGTTGTCAGATTAAATGCTGAAAAGTGTTGATTAATTAGTTATATGAGTGTGTTGTGTGTATATATAGATATATCATTCCTCCTCTTGGTTCTTGCTTAATAATAAACTTTCTCCTCCCTTGTGATCCAAATTGTGCCCAAACATTTGTCTTGTTCAAGTATAAGAGACAAGTATAAAATATGGGTAAAAGTCCCAACATCTTACAAAATTTGATACTTACACTTTATACTTAATTTCCCAAAAATTTTCTCACTTAAAACATACAGCTACCATTGACTTGTAATCGCAATTGATAGGCCAATTTTGCAACTTTTAGCTATGCTTAGTTAAACCATGTAAAGGGTAATGTTGGCAAGGGCTGTGGCATATTCTTGAGCCCTGCTTAGATAGCCCTGTGGAGATTCATCGCCTTTCATGGCAATTTTAAGAAGTTGGGTTTTTAGTGTGTATTCACGAGAGGTGGTATTTGGTGAGTATGCCCGTTCAAGGGCTAGCCACAGTTCTCTAGAGGTTGCTCCTTGGACATGTTGAAACGAAGCTTCAGAGATGGTGGATATGATAATCATCCGGACATGTGCATCATTGGCTATCCACCGGGGATAACTAGGGTTATCCGTGATTGCGTCCCCAGTTCCCACTTTCTGTGCTGGACAGGGTATCGTGCCATCTACATAACCAAATAAATTGTTGGTGATGAGAAAGGGTTCAATCATTGCTTTCCAGAACCCATAGTTGGTGGGAGAGAGAGTGAAAGCAAATTTATGGGAGTTATGTGATGTCTTTTCTGCAGTAGAAGGCAGTAATAGTAGCCATGTGAATTTGAGTTGATCACCAGTGATTGGAGTTGAGCACAGGATGAAGCCGTAAGAGGCTTTTCTGCAGTTAGGGTTTAGAGCCGTAAGGTAGGGTTTACTTGGCTCTGATACCAAGTTAAACCATGTAAAGGGTAATGAATTGCGTATTATGAAGCGTAGATTACAATCTTATATATATATTAGATAGTTACATTTAGATACCCTCTAAAAATAACACTATTAATAAACTATCTGAACATATGTCTAACATGCTTAATATTCTCTCATAATTCATCATTTATCTAATGCATTGCATGATGGTTCTCGTCCATTGCAACTGATTTGTACTATATAATTTGCTGTACTTACCCTGTCATGCAATCTTAACAATGATTAAATGTCCATTTTATTCGTGTTGTTAACTTGGAAAGGTTTCTGCAAGTTGGTTAACGTAGGTTTTAATTTTAGTAGTTGTATTGGTCATAAAGCTATAGTTCAAGGACAGGCAGTTAATCTAAAGAACTTGAGGGCTACAGAATAAAGTACAGAAGGGGCTGATCCTATCAAGTGCTAAAAGTTGGAGGTGGCTGAGGATAAGAGAAGTTATTATTAAAAGTTGTTCCTATATCAATCGAGAATCATATTCTTTGCGTTTAGATGGAACCAAGTGAATCCAACTGATCTCTGTTTTCAAGACATGAATCCAAATAATACAAATTAAATTCAAATCCAATCTGAACCGACCAAATTATAATTCGACTGGATCGGTTTTTACAATTTGGTTTTCAAGAGGCATGAAATATACTTTCAATCAATAAAAACTCCATATCATTTTAATAACAAGAAACAAATTGTGTTTGGCTAAAATCAAATCCAGATGATCCATGTTTTACTACTATAAAATGAAATCTACACAAGTGGTTCATCATGCAAGCAAAAACACTCAGATTCCAAAACATATATATACAAAAAAAACCACTACAAACAACAACCAACAAGAAAAAAAAAATCTAGATGTGGTGATCCATACCAACACCAAGAATCAACTGTGCAAGATGAGTCAAATATGGTTCTGCCTGTGCCCTGCTGCTCAATATTGGTCTTAAACTCTCCAGCTCACTACTGAACTCCCTCTCAAATTTTCTGCCAAAAATCACTCCACTCCATCACATACATACATACATACATACATACATACATACATACATACATACACACACACACAACACACACAACACACACACACATACATACATACATACGTACATACATACATATATGCATACATACATAGAAAGAAATATGGGGGTATAGTTTTAAGATCTTACAAGACACATTCCATGACTGTAGACTCATCTGTGGGTGAATTTGGTTTTTTGGAAGACTTTCTTAGCTTCAAAACCGTTACATTTTCCAATGAAGATGAATGTGAATCATCAATGGAACTGTTTGAATGGGGAGCTTCAATGGAGCTCATTAGCCACTGAGTTGCAGAAGCATACTGAAGGCATACAAGTTTCAGTTTCTCGAATTTCTGCATTCATCCCAAAAAAACTTATTATTATTTGAACACAAACCCTTGTATATTATATGACTTTCTTTTTTAACTAATGGAGACATGACTTTGGGCCTCATTAAGTCATGTATGGGTAAAGTGATTGCACAGATAATGATGTCTGTCTTACCAAATGACCATTTTACCCTTACATTCTGAAAAAAATCAGAATATTCATCAATTTCTAACATGAGAGAGTACTCACCTCATTAAGTCAAAAAGAAACAGCCCCTTCATGTGGTAACTTACATATCAATGTTTCTTTTTAACCTAACTTTTCACCAATTTGACTTCATTTACTTTTACTTCCATTTCCCTAAGTGTGTCATCATTTTATCAAATATTTTTTAAACATTAGTTATCCAGACAGCACTTTATACAGAAATAATTCTTAATGAAAATCATATTAAATTTGCATGCTATTCTATTCCTCTATTTTTCCATATTGTATTTCGTAAAATTAGATGTGCAAATTTGAGAGCATTATGAATAGGGAATGATGAAAACCTTGAGGAGGATTGGAGAAAGAAGTGAACAATCCTTGAGACACTTCTCCATGAAAAAGTCATGATATTGAATTACCTATTTTTCATACAAAGATTACAACCACACTCAGGGAAAAAAATTAACAACTTACTTTCATTTATTTGTGAAATATAGCAATCTACTTTTATATTTTTCTTTTACAGCATTGTAGTACAATTTTCTTCTTCTTATTAGAACATTTTACTTTGAAAAATCAACCCAACTAAAGAAGTAAATATTGCTTTGTATTTGTATGACATTACTAACTGGGTAGATTTTTCAAAGCACAACATTTTAATACAAAAAAAAAAAATCAACATATACCTCATCTATGCTCTTTGCATTCTCAAGCTTATTATGCATAACATGCCAATTTGGTTCAAGAACCTAAAACAAGATAAAAGAATACGTTATTCAATTATAATAATATAATATCACCTCCACCTTTGTTGGTTGACAAAAGAATTAAAGAGAGATAAATAACCACATTAACATTGGATTAACAAATAAATAGGAAAGAGAAATATATTTATATTTCTTCACCCATAATAACAACATACTCATAGCATGAAACTTGTAGAATGTACTTTACTTTTTACATAACATAATTACTTTTATACTGATCATAACTAATAGCAATAACATAAATTTTGTAAGCATCTTACATACAAATTACAGGTTATATATTGTTATTATTGGTAAGGAAATGTAAGCACATTGTTATTTTATAAACTTAAGAACATGGTTTTACTTTTACCTCAAAGGTTAGATAATGTAGAAGGCTATTTATAAATTTAAGCATATTCCTGCATAGTATTGATGATGTAGAGATTGCAGTTCCATGCATATCACGTGCACGTGCACCCTACAGCAACAACAAAAGTATAATTACAAATAATATAAAGAGTAAAATTACAAAAGGATATTTTTATTTTTTAATAAATATTTATATGAGGGATATTTAGTCTCATACTTGATGTAGTTGCCAGGCTGCACAAAGCGGTCTGTGAACATGTTTGCAATGAAACAGAAATCGAAAAATTAATTGATATTTTGTCAGAGCTTTTCTTGATATCACAAGAGATAATGGCCATTGAACCTGTAATAAAAATAACAACTTACTTTCATTTAATTGATAATTAGATAACTAGATAACTGAAATTAGGTTGCTATTTCTTGCAATTAATGAAAGAAAATGTTAAAAAAAGGTGTGAATGTTGATGATGATAATTACCTTGTAATTAACAGAGAAGGTTTCCATACCAGTGATCAAGGGCTCTTCTTCTACAGCCTCTGAAACTGACTCACCACCACCACCACCACCACCTGTTTGAAGATCTTTCAGAATGCTCAGTCTCTTTAACAAAGAACCTGTGTCCTGAAAAAGGCATATAATAAATTAATAAGTTATTAATTAATTAATTATTTCTGAAAGTGGAATGTTGTGATAGGAATAAATGAAACTGACCACAGAACATATGACATCTTCATGCAAAGGATCTGCTGCTGCTGCTGTCAAACACAGTGCAAGGTCCAACAGAGACGGAAAATTAAACTCAAATAAATTATAAAGTTAATTTGCAAAAAAAAAATAGCATTGTACGTTCATTTTCATTTATTTGTGTATTATATTTATAGCATCAAACTCTTTATTTTTCCATAAATCATCTGTTTACAAATGTCATTTATTTTCTTAGATATAAGTTAATGGGTAAAAAGAGAGTGAGAAACGATAATTCTTATATATGGATAACTTTTATCCCTAACTATGCATATGGATTATACAAATAAGGGAAATTACAGAAATGCCATTATATTTTGGGCAATTTTGCAGTTTAACTAACCATTTCTACTTTATTTTTTTTCCAATAAAAAAAACCATTAAAGTTTCAGACATATTTCCAATTTAACCATTTTGACCTGATATAATAGGTCAAAAATGGTTAATTTGGAGAATTAGAACGGTTAATTTGGAAAAAATGTCTTAACTATTATTCTTTAATTGGAAAGAATAAAGTATCAGTGGTGTATTCACAATAATTGCCCAAAATATACTCTGGTTTTTTTTAGTCAGATAATATGAGTTAAATGGAAAAAGACCTGAAGCTTCTCAACAGAGATCTCATTTGGTGTTTTATCAAGTTCATCACGTGCAATATCCATAAAATGAACCAAGAAATCACCCTGTATTTCTAACTCAATCAAATCAATTATCAAATTTAATTATTAATTACAATTCAAAAACTTTTAGAGAAAGCATGAATCAAAATTTAACCTGATCCAGAAGAAGATAATGCTTAATAGAACACAGCTTTCCAATCAGGTCATACTGTCAACATTCAGAATAATAACAGGTCACTAAATATTCTTAAAAGAACTAAAACATGCACCCATCAGGAAAAAAAACAAAAAAAAAAGTTTAAAGAAATGAAAATAACCCCACCTTGTCCTTCATGAGATTTAGTAATTCGCCACTTGCAAAATCATAAGCAGATTTAATGCATTCAAGATAGTGATCATTCGACCCAAAGTTCATCAATTTTGAATTCTCCAATGCAGGCACCTATAAAGTACATATAAAAGCCTCAAATACCAACAATAATATGGTTAATTTACGTTTTTCATCCCAGTGGTTTGTTGAATTTTACAAATATGGTCCACTAGTTTGATTTTATAAACTCTGTCCCTAAAGCATGACAAAACAACGTTTTAAGGACCAAAAGGTTAAAAACCAAACTATTGGACCATACTTGTAAGAAACAACAAACCAAGGGATGAAAAATGTAATTAATTGAAAGATACAGAAAAAAGAAACAAGACCTGAACAGTGTGGCCGCATTCCCTCATGACATTCAAAGATTTCCCTGTTGTTAAAATGGTTTCAGCTGAATTTGCAAGGAAAGAAGGAATATCATCTTTCAGACTGTATCTTTGTCTCCAATACATAGCATCATAATCTTCGGTCAGACTCTCCTATAGCACCAGGGGTAAAATCGTACTGTTTAGCATGTTTGTACTTTTTGGAAAAATTTGTAGGAGGGGTAAAAATAAATAATACTTTTTGGAGAGATTTGTTTTCAGCAATGAAGAACTCATCATGAGGATCATCAATAACTCCTTCATACACCCACCTGCATATATGCAAATATATATGGACAATATTGAGTATGTTATGTGAAAATTGCAGAAAATAGCAACATACTTTCTATATTGGTAAGGGGGTAAAATAGTACTTTGTGGAGTATATTATTGGGCATTGTGACTTTATATATACCTTTCAAGTATGCCAAGATAAGCAGAATTTGCAGATTCTATCATCTTCTCAAGCAATGATCTCACCAAATAGTTACCAGCCATTATCTTGGCCTGTTTAAATTTAAAATATATAAATAAATAAACAGCATATAACATATTTTAGTTTATTTTATTGACATACTTACCTGACTTTGTAAAAGGTTAAGAACTGCAGAACCCACAAAATTACTTGCTGATGCCTTTCTTTTACTGTTGATAATGCTTGCATTGATCCCATCATTGGCCGTAAATATATTAAAAGGCAATTAATATTAATCTTGAAACCAAAAAAGAAGAAACTCATCATAGTTTGTAAATATATAAACAAACAAAATTAAGTTTATAAGAAACGAAATTACCTGACAATAGAACCATAATCCTTGTATTGAGAGTCTTCCTAGTCGAAACTGATGTTCAAGCTGTGCCACCATGGCTTGATAATCCTGAGAAAAATATAATTATTTATTACATAGCAAAATAGCAAATTCATGGAACCTTGACACTAAAATGTGTTATTTTGTTATATTTATCTTACATAGTCAATGATTCCTATTGATTATCATGACTTGTTATTGTATTAGTAAATTTATCACTCACTGTAGTTTCCAGAACTTAGAATTTGCAAAGTTGCATTACTGTCGATATCAAACATCTAAGAATCTATATCATTATTTATAATTATATGCAGTAAAAACTATCATATAATAGGTAGCAATAGCATTGAACATAAATAGCTTACCAAAAGGTGTGTTTAATTACCTTGTAATTAACAGAAAAGGTTTCCATACCAGTGATCAAGGACTCTTCTACAACATCGGGCTCTGAAACTGTCTCACCACCTGTTTGAAGATTTTTGAGAATGCTCAATTTTTTTAACAAAGAACTATTAGCCGATTATATTTTAGAATCTTATATATTTCAATGTTGTATTGCTGTCAATATTTTCTGATATTATTTCCTATTATACCCCCTCTATATTTGGGGATCCGTTTGTAATTATCCCTATATAAATAGGGCATTGTTAATCAATTCCATCGACAGATTCAGATCCTATATTCGCTGTTTTGGTATCAGAGCCATAAACCCTAAACTCGGCGGCTACCCTTTCATCCAAAGCTATGGCTTTGTCTAATCTGTTTCACTGTTATCCATCAAAAGCCCTTCTCTGTCATTGTCATGGGCAAAGATGATGCTAATTCGAGTGAAGTAACTGTTATTGACTGCCTAGAGACGTTTAGTCTGGTCGTGAAACCGGATACTATACGAATCGTTCTCAGTCTCGCAGGCATGGCCGATACATCAGTTAGACGTCAAAAACGTATTCCTCCATGGCGATCTCCATCAGACTGTATCCCATGTTTGTTATTTACGAAAATCTTTGTATGGGCTTAAGCAAGCCCCGTGTGCATGGTATACTTGTTTTGCTTCATTTATCACATTTCGGGGTTTCAGAAGTAGTATTTGTGATTCATCGTGCTTACTTATTACTATATGTCGATGATATAATATTGACTGCTTCTGACCCTGCTGTTCTCCACAGTATTATCACTTCGTTGTCTCAGGAATTTGCTATGACTGATATCGGTCCACTTCACCATTTTCTGGGTATTACGACTACTCGCGATGAACATGGTCTTTTTCTGTCACAAGCCTCTTAAACTCGTGATATCCTTCAACGAGCTGCTATGGACTCTTGTAAACCATGCGCTACACCAGTGGATACGTCCACCAAACCTGGTGCTACTGATTGTGAAACTTTTGCTGATGGAACTCTCTACCGCACTCTTGTCAGTGCCCTCCAGTGACTTTTACTCGACCAGACATTGCATATGCTGTTCAACAAGTTTGCCTCTTCATGCATGCCCTACGTGAGCCACATTTTCAGTTCATGAAGAAGATTTTTCGTTATATATAGGGTACGATTTACTATGGTCTATAGATAGTTGCATCTTCGTCCAACACGCTAACTGCCTACTCCGATGTTGATTGGGGCGGATGTCCCGACTCGCGACGATCTACTTCTGGATACTGCGTTTTTCTTGGCAATAATCTTGTTTCCTGGTCTTCAAAGCGCCAGCCCACTATCTCTCATCCAGTGTCGAGGCCGAATATCGTGGTGTTGCTAATGCAGTGTATGAGACCACTTGGTTACAAAATCTCCTTATCGAGCTTTGTGTTCCCCTTCACAAGGCAACGGTCGTTTATTGCGATAATACATCTGTTGTCTACCTGGCTCAGAATCCAATCCAACACCAACACACCAAACATATGGAGATAGACATACACTTTGTGCGAGAAAAGGTTCGTCTTGGCCATGTTCTGGTTCTTCACATTCCTGCCTCCTTGCAGTATGCAGGCATCTTCACAAAAGGGCTACCTCGTTTCTTATATCAGCAGTTTCGATCCAGTTTGAGCGTTTGTCCTTCTCTGGCTCAAACTGCAAGGGAATATTAGCCGATTATATTTTAGAATCTTATATATTTCAATGTCGTATTGTTGTCAATATTTTCTGATATTATTTCCTATTATACCCCCTCTATATTTGGGGATCCGTTTGTAATTATCCCTATATAAATAGGGCATTGTTAATCACTTCCATCGACATATTCAGATCCTATATTTGCTGTTAAGAACATGTGTCCTAAAAAATGAATATCATATAATGTCCAATTATAAAATATTAATTATTCTCATAGTATAATGTTGTAAAAGGAAATGAAAGTATATAACTGTCACGAACCACAGAACATGCGGCATCTTCATGCAAAGGATCTATTGCAGATACTATTGAACGCAGTGCAAGGTCCAACAGAGACGGAAAATTAAACTCAAAAAAAAAAAAATGTAAATTTGCAAAAAAAAAAAAATGTAGTGTACTTTTATTTATTTGTGTATTATAATTTTTGCGTCAAACCCTTTATGCAGAAAAAAAAGTCAGGAAATTGTGTATTTTCCCATAGGCATATATTTGTTTACAAATATGTCCTTATTTATTTTTTTCTTCCATTTTCTAAGATATTCTTTTAGCATTAGTTATCTACACATAAATTAAGGGGTAGAAAGAGAAACAATAATTGTTATATATGGGTAACTTTTATTTATAAGTATACACATGGATTGCCATGATTAGCCATCAATATGATTTGTTTTCTACGGAACATATAATTACAAAAGGTGTTGTTTTATGCACCCATTATTTTTGAAATTCCTACCCCCCCCCCCCTCTTGTTTTTTAGTTATCTTTAACCTATTTTTTTTATTGTCTTTTATTATTATTATTTAATTAAATTTATAATAATTATAGTAATTTAATAAAAGAAAATTTATTTTCTTCAATTTGATTCTACATACCCCTTTTTTTTATTGTCCTTTTTTATTCATCCACGCACACAGGAGTACTTCAACGTTTGAGTTATTGCCTACTTTTAATATATGTATAATAAATATTAAATAATTTTAATTAGTCTGGTCAAAATTAAATTGATTACAAACTTATGGTAACAAATCTAATTATAATTAATTTGATTTGATATTTCTTTAACTTTATCTTTAATAATAAAGAAATTGATTTGATGTTTGATGTTTTGTTTTCTTCTATTATTATGTATAATATAATATATAACATCTCAAAAATCACAACCAATTTGAACTTTTCAAATCAACTCATTTACTAATAAAAGTGTTTACAAAATCATTGTTTTAAAAATATTATTTAAAACAGAGTCTCCCAAGATCAACAATATAAAATTAGGATGTGTACGATCACACCTTCGCCTTCCCACGATCCTCGGAAGTACCTGAAACCATAACCAAAAACTGTAAGCCAACACTTAGTGAGTTTCCCCCAAAGTACCACCTCACAATACACATATCATATACAAACAAGCATGTTGGGTCCAATCAGTCATCGGACTGGAATATGCACGAATCTACAGCCATCGGGCTGGATAACCCCTGCCCCAATCAGTCATCAAACTGGAATGCCAATATACAACGGGTCCAATCAGTCATCGAACTGGACTACCCTCGAGCCCTCAGTACGAGTCTGACATGCCAATCGGGCCCTCAACTCGTATTTGGAATGCTCTCGAGCCCTTAGTATGAGTCTGGCATGCCACTCGGACCCTCAACCCATATACGGAATCTTCTCGGGTTTGTTGGCTACAACACAAAGCAGTACAACCTCAATCCAACACAAATGTCGCAATATACATAACAGATAAACATACAATCAGTCAACAGGAAAACAGGCAGATCTACAGATCACTACCGCAGAGCAACTTCCTAGTAAACTAGGATACATATCTAACAGATCACTACAACATAGCTGTTGGATTAGGTGTCTAAGCCCATAACTATTTTGGTTTGTACTTGACCCAATTATAAGCATGGTCCTTTTGGGTTGCCTTCACCATAGCAACTGATAGGATGAATTAAGGAGAAAGAGGATTAATTATGATTTATTAATATATTATAAGAATAATATATTAAAAGAGAAATCATATTGTTTAATTAATATTGATCAAGAATTAATTTAGAATTAAATTTGTGGTCAAAAGAGATTAATTAAATAAAGGGAACTGATATTGTAATTATGGTTATGACAAATTCACATGGATAGAAACACATACACCATAAAATCTAAGTGTCATAAGGTTTCTCTCCATTTCATGAAAATGATTGTGAGGAAACGCTTTCACTAAGAGAGATTTTAAGGAGATAGAAATTGTGAAAATCATATTCTCAAATTCGATTATGAATACGACATCCCTCTTCAGAGTTTGAATTGTGAGATTTGGTGATTAGTCTGAACATTTGGGACTTAGGTCCCGTTTGATATTCGTCTGACTGAGTCGACTCAGATCTTTTTGGCTGACTCGGTTAGCTAAACGTGTTTGATAAACAACTTTTATGCACCTGATTCGGAAATACACGTCTGACCGGGAAAGGAATAGAAATTCGACTGACTGAAGAAAAGGAGAAAAGTTTCCCCTGGTACCCTTTCCCTAACGCAACGCCTCCATTTCAACGAATCCTTTCTTCTCTCGCAACCAGCAAGCACCAATCGAAGTTCCTTCCTCACATCAACAGGTAAGCATCGATTTCTCCTTCCTCGTCTCATAATAGTTCTGATTTCTTTCATCGTCGGCCAGCAAGCATCGATTTCTACATCTGTAATAGTTCCGATTTCTGTGATTATTTCTCTGAATGTTTTGATTTTCGCATCATCGACTCTCGAATCTCGCACACAGACACTTACATCATTTGGTGTTATGCTTCATTCTAGCATCAAATTCTTCTTTGGAATTCACTCAGGGCATCATTCCGACTTATGGTCCCTTGAATTCGGGTTCTCCTCCTATTCCTATGCCTCCAACAACGTATAGAAACTACTCTCACTTTTTGAATTCGTTAGTATTTAGTAATATAATTACTTGTGTTAATGAGGTACTTATACTTAATGTAATTATGATTGTTTAAGAATGAGTGAAATAACAGATTGTTTAAGAAAGGGAATTCCCATTGAAACATATAATGGTTAATTTGATGAATTATCTTTTTGTAACTCTTTTAGTTTATTTTTTGACCTGTTGGAGTTTTCGGATAATGAAGTTAGAGGGGAATAAATTTGAAGGTTTTTATGGATGAGAGGATTTATTATTTACAAGAGGTGGAGTCATACAGTTTTGTCTAAAGGGCAATTTGGTCTTTTTCTTTTCAATTTCAAGGAATGCAAGATTTTTCAAAGTTCTGTGATCATTGAATGGTCCTTTTGGAATAATAATGGAAAAAGAGAATGGTTGAATGTTATTTAGATTATATATGCTTGTATTCATATAGTTTTTCATTTGTTTTCCTTTTAATATTTGATGTTTTTGCTCCAAGTGTTATGGCTTACTATCAATCCTTTAATGGATGATTATTAATCCTTTAAAATTGATTGATGAATGTGAATCTGGTCATGAGTTGTTTGAATTGTTAAAAAACAATGAATTTATTTATGTCTTTATAGAAACAATGATTCCTTTTATTTTATTTGAATTTATAAAGGATTTGTGTGTAATTTACATTTAAAGGGTAAAATGGTCATTTCTTATTACTCAGCACATTAAGTCAGATGTACAATCAAACAACATGGTTTCTTACTCAGTCAGGATTTCTTATCCAGACAGACCTTTCTCAGTCATCACTTTCTCAGTCAGCAACTATCAAATGGGACCTTATTGATATAAGTTCTTAATTAGTTTAGACACACATGTGAGCTATCTAAGGAAAGGTGTATGAGTTTGAGAAGCTTAGATAAAGGCTTATGAAAGCATCTCGTATCCGAAATATGAACTTTGGTTAAGAAATTCAATAAGTATTGTTTTTTAGAAGTTCAGCTGATTTCTGGATACATGTCAAAGCTAGTGGGAGCATAAATGTTATGTTGGTAAGGAAATAATCATCATGTTAGTAGGAGCATGATTATTATAATAAGTGTTGCAAGTTAACAATATTAATTATGGAAAACAAAATTTCACTTTGCTAAGTTGCAGAGGTTGAAAGGTTGTTTTGCTATAATTAAGGGAGAAAATATTATACTTCATTTCAAATCTAAAAGCTTAGATTGATAAATTTTAATCAAATTTAGTCAAAAGATATATATATATATATATATATATATATATATATATATATATATATATATATATATATATATATATATATATATATATATATATATATATGAATGTTATGTTGAAAAGATTCAACATAAGGGAATTCTTTATATAGTAATATTACAGCAAGAAACTGGTAAAGTATCACGTTTTTCATTGTGAATCGTGTCCCATACGCTTCGGGTATAGGATTGGTTGCATATGCTGTAATATTTGACCGTTCTAAATTTTCCAAATTCATAGGGCATTAAGAAGGAAAAAGGACTAGAACCGAAAATGACTAAAATAATTAGACAACTATCAAAGGACGATATGAGGTTCGCTAAGGATTTGTCGCTTGTGAGTAGTTGGAAGTATAGTATTGGATGGACCATGTTGACATTATTATGAATAGATAAGATTCTATTTATAATAAGACCTCATATGGCAAATATGGAAATGTTTCCATAATGGGAGTTGGACGTTAAGAATCTATGTCTAGATTACAAACTTTTATGCAAGAAGGATATTCAAAGGAATGTACTTTGAATGTGAGACTTCATATCTATGGAATTGTCTTGTAGCAATATCTGATAGAGTAATTTGTAATTTCATTGGCCGAGTCTTTGTGACTTTGGTGTTGTGACATTACGAAAGGATCGTTGCATAAAATGTTAGAATCTAACATATAACATATTCTAATAGTGGTAAGAATTTGGTATTCTTACACTAATGATGAGGATTAGGAATTATGAAATAAGCATCATTGGAAATGTCTTCAATTGATCTATTTCACGTAGTATGGACCATAGGTAAACATAGTTGGCATGCTTGGAGCATGGGACAACTATTGTTATAATTCAAGTGATAAGTCTATTATCCAAAACATTATACAATGAATAATGAGTAATCAATATGGTGATTAAATAAAAGGTGTTTTTATTTATACTCAAAAGTTTTGGGGGACATATAGGATTAAGTATTATTATTGTGTTTCACTTTGCATGTTTTGACTTCCAAAATAACTAGGTTATTCAAACATCCACAGTCGGTCATACGTTGGAAGTAGGTATGAAGCAAGACTGTCATGAATCCGTCTGTAGATTGTCTAAAGTTGTTTAGACATAACACAAGTTTGCTGCAGAATTCATGAGTGCTCCTGTAATAAGATTAGAGTATTGGATTAAACCCATGCTCACTTGAATCACTTCATGGATTTTATCACGGGTGATTAGTGAGACGATAATATCTTATATTCTTGAAACCAAGACATGTGAGTTGTAATTTACAAGTCGGTTGCGCATTGATACTATGTAAACGCACCAGTAACTTGGTGTTATAAAACATATTGTTGTGTGTGATTTGATGAGTAAGTGCAAGTGAGCATTTGAGTCGAAATTTATCCATTTCTTTTACCCAAAGTTGGATAAAAGCGATATCTGTGGGCCCCTTGATGATTTAGTGATGACACCCCAAAGCGCTTGGCCAAGCCTGGACTGATTTGATTTGTTCAATTAGTCAGTCGTCATAAATCGAAAATCGGGAAACAACATATAGACAGAGCAAATGATTAAAATCCATGTCTCGTGTCTATACGTTATCTTGAGAATGGAGGAATATATGATCCCTTATCTAAACAACGCGTTACTGATAAGATCAGAGTTGACAGCAGCTTTTGAAAGCTACGATTTCTAATCAGGTTCTGAAGTCGTACCTGCCAAATAGTTATTAGACTTATCCAAGTGGGAGACTGTTGGATTAGGTGTCTAAGCCCATAACTATTTTGGTATGTACTTGAACCGATTATGAGCATGATCCATTCGGGTTGCCTTCACCATAGCAACTGATAGGATGAATTAAGGAGAAAGAGGATTAATTATGATTTATTAATATATTATAAGAGTAACATATTCAAAGAGAAATCAAATTGTTTAATTAATATTGATCAAGAGTTAATTTAGAATTAATTTTCTGGTCAAAATAGATTAATTAAATAAAGGGGACTGATATTGTAATTCTAAGATAGTTACAAAGCTGAGCTTAGGAACCATAAATGAAGCATGGATGAATTCTATATGGAGGTCCATATAGAAATCGTCCAAGGGCCTTCTGGAAGAATCATTTGGGCTGCTTAAGGCCTAAGCAATTGGATTAGGGTTTCCTAGTTGATAACCCTAGAAGCCTAACTATAAAAGGAACCCCTAAGGCCTCAAAAACGTGGCTGAGCATTCCTTGGAGTATCTTGGATGTTTTTGGTGCCTCCTCTCTCTCTCTCTCTCTCTCTCTCTTGTTCATCTTTGTTGCTTATGGTGTTTGTGACTCCATTAGAGGTGCAACATCTGAGGCACTAAGCTTTCAAAAGTCAAGATCAAGAAGTTTTGTTGCTCATGGTCTTGTTCATTTTTGGTGTTTGTGACTCCATTAGAGGTGCAACATTCAGGATTTTGACCTGTTTTAGATTTGGATAATTACCAAAAATGATTTTGATTGATAAAATCCGATTTTTATTGATATGTAGTGATTATCCTTGCCAAAATAGAAGATAATTGTCATTTAATTGGATAATCATTGCCTTATATGATAAACTTGATTTATTTAAATTATTTGATTGAATTATCTTGCCATAAAATTGAATTTGGTCAAATTTAGATAATTACCAATTATTTGATTAATTGAATTATTTTTAATTTGATCTAGATAGTTTAGAAAAGTTTCAAAACTTGCCCTCAAGTTTTGGAATTTAAATTTTTGGTTAAAAGTTCAATTTTGAAATATTTAAATTCTAAACCCTAGAATTTTACAAGTTTAAAGTTCAACCCTTATGGTTTTATTAAGTTAATTAAGTGTATAATTAAAAAAGAGTTAATAAATCCATAATGATTTGGTTTATATTTAATTAAATTAAAAGTATAATTTATTAAATTAGACCACCTAGTATTTTAAAAGTGTAAAATACACCCTTATACTATATATAAAATTAAAAGTCTAATATTATATATGTATGAGTAAAGAGTCAGTCTTAGCGTTAGTAGGCCTCATTCACGAAGCTGGTCTCTAAGGGGTGTTTAAGGAAATTGCCTATAAAATGGCGATTGAATGGGTATCCACTCTTACCCACCACACTCTTGACTGGTGGAGGGGCGTTAGCCGAACGGGTAGGATAGGACAGAACCTTCCATTATAAGTATAATGAATACAAAGTAACTAAACGCTTTTATAAAATTCCTAAATCTTAGTTACTTTAGGCAAAATGTAAAAATATATGCTAATCCATGAAATTACACTTTGCACCTTGCTGAGACATTAGTGGAGTGTGTATGGGTAACCGACACACTAATCTGGGATTGGTAAGGGTGGCGAAGGGTGGCTCGAAGATTTTCATAGATCAATGGAGCATGTGTAGCTAACTGGCACATTGATTTTGGTGATAATGACATTGAGTGCACCATTTATATTTGCATGGTTATTCACACCTTGTTTGTGATCCTCGGCATCCCAGTCA